TTGTTGTTGTTGTTGTTGTTGTTGTTGTTGTTGTTGTTGTTGTTGTTGTTGTTGTTGTTGTTGTTGTTGTTGTTGTTGTTGTTGTTGTTGTTGTTGTTGTTGTTGTTGTTGTTGTTGTTGTTGTTGTTGTTGTTGTTGTTGTTGTTGTTGTTGTTGTTGTTGTTGTTGTTGTTGTTGTTTTTCTCCTGTTGTTTGTTTGTTTGTTAGTTTGGTTTGATTTGGTTTGGTTTGGTTTGGTTTGTTTGTTTGTTTGTGTGTTTGTTTGTTCGTTTGTTTGTTTGTTTGTTTGTTTGTTTGCGGGGGAATTTCCAAAAACCCGAGACCCCTCAGGCACATGTTGATTTAATTTCGGGCGCCTTGTGGGGTTGAAACTTGCCCAATTGATTGCTAGCCCGAGCGGAGGAAACGACGAACACAACGCGTGAAGATGTCCGAGCTTTCAAGATCCCTTTTCAGGTCAGTGTTTTGGCTGGCTTCACTAAGATTCATCCAAGCTGAAGCATTGGCGCGTCTCGGCCACCTCGGCTTTATTGTTTGTGTGCGTATCCTGCTGCCTTTTTTTAGGGCACCTGCCTTTTGGCTGTGTTGAAGAGAAACCAGGACACCACTCTGTTTTTTTTTTTGGGGGGGGGGCTTGTGTTGACAAATTGGGAGGCGTAATTCTGAGACCAGGGTGACCACTGGACCCAACAACAAGTCCGCGAAAGGACCGGTGATTCCGGTGATTCCATCAGGTAACCCAGGGAACCCGTCCCAAAGAAGGTTGGTGAAGTACCGCGGTTCAATTTATGGGCGAAGAGGTTGACAGCTGAGAGCTGGCAGAAGCCGGAGCTTCGACCTGGCATTTTGGAAATTTGGGGCGCGCGGAGTTGAAGGGTCCTTTGTGTTTCGCTTGTGGGGCCCTTGAAGGAGTGCCCTTAAAGGGGTGCCCTAAAAGGGTGCCCTGAAGAAGTCCCTTGGGAATCCCTGCTGAAAGGAAGCACATCAAAACTCCCTTCGCGCGCCACCGCGCGCCACGCGCCGTAAGCTGGTGAAAAAGGTCGCTAGGGCCGCACTACGACTTGCTGTTCAACCGAGCGGCCACAATTCTTGATGGCGCGGGTCTGTTGCGGCAAATATGAGCGAAACGGAAAGCCAGGAGCGCACTACAAGCCTCCCCGACACCGTGTCTATTTGGGAGCTCTGCGACATCGCGCCTCGGCAAACGACCCGAATTGATCAAAGGCGCCTCCAGTTACTCCATGCACCGGTATAGCACGCAATGGATGCACCCTTGTCCAACTGGGAAAGTGGGATTCACCGAGACCATGGAACCCTTGTGCCCCATACATGTGTATATATATATATATAATGTGCGAGTTGGGAGTTTGCAGCGAGCGCAATACGGCTTGCACAGCATCTAGGCTGCAATGTGGTTTCTTTTGAGCTATTCCTTGAGTTTTGCAGCACACGTCTGGTGAAGGCAATGCCATGCTGAGATTGGGACACAGACGCAGGTAGCTTCGAGACGGTGCCGCACTGATTGCTTGCCAGAGGAGCAAGCACTATTCGTTGGTACTGCCCAATTGTGCCTTGAGGGACCGATCACAAGATGTTGCCATCGAAGCGGTTTGCTGAGCACTGGTTGACCACGCAAAGGTGCTATCCCTGTGTCTCTTGTTCCAGTGGACTCGCACTGCGATATACAAGCAGAGTGACCTTCCCTACCTTGAGACAAACCCATAGTAAGATGCCGGGCCGATCCTGCGTAGTTGTCTACTGTTTGCGCTATTCTTGCACCATTTGTGCGTGCCAAGCACACCCTCATTGCTCAGCACTTGTTGAAAGCGATTCTTCTAGGTGCGATGGCTTGCGTAAGCAGCCTGCAAAACACCCCTTTTGCATGGGCTGCTTTTGTTTGTTTCTCCCTTCACATCATCAGGAAAAATGGGGCGGTCTGAAAACAAGCAGCATTATCCCTCCCCTACCATTTTTTTTTCAGGGGGGAACGAAGTCATGTGTTTCCTTCAGAATACATGCACGACAGTTTCGGCATGACAACCCACGGCTTCCGCTTGGTTCATGTCGCCACAAGCCACCGTCACTTTCACAGGTCTTACAACCCTGCAGCAAATACTGAGGGTGGCAAGAAGGAACGTGCCATTGATCAACTGCTGGCCTGCGATATGGAAAAACGTGTTTTCCTTTGAGTGGTAGTAGGAGATTGGAGCAGACCGCACGGGCATGGCCCACATCTAGGGGGGCCTTCTTGCCTTGGCTTGCGTGCAAGCCTTTGTCGAATAATTCTGAGGTTTGACTGGAGGTCGTCGTCTAAAGAGTGCGGGCAGTACATCGCAAACAGGCACGCTCACGTACTTTGCAGAACCAATAAAGCCTGTATGCCTTCACCGAAACATGCGCAGCGATATGCCTTGCAGTTGTCTCCGATCTGCGCCTGCGAAGTTGCCAAGGCATTCACCAGCTTGCTACTGGTAAGCGTCGGCTGTCCTGATAGCCAGGCACAAGCCCGACATCCTCGTGTGCTTTTCAGGAGAGGTCCTGCAAATAGTTTGCAAGCTTTCAATTATGATCCTTGCATTTGAAGTGGGTGCAACTCAAATTGACATACGAATATATATATATATATGTATATATATATTACATGTATATGTGTCTATATACATGCTACCCCCTCAGGGTGCTCAGGTTGTTCATCACACAATCACGTTTTTGCTGGTAGCACGCAGGTAAAATGCCGGGATTGAGGAAACCAGGGGGATGTTGCCAGCAGCAATTTAATCAGAACAAATGCATTTTACCTGGACGTTACCAGTGCAAATGTGATTGTGTGATGAAATCCTGCGCTTTAAAGCATTTGTCGGCCTGAAGCAGTACTGGATTTAAAATTCGATTCTTGAGGATCTTGAATGATTCAACGCAAATGAAACGTCCTCGTGAGCTTTATTTCAAGCGCCTCAAAGTATTTGTGTTTTTTCAAACATGGCTCAAACATTGGACGCGAAAACACTTGCACGTAGAGGCGAACACTCTGCGTGTTCACACGCTTCTGCACCGTTTGGTGTTCTTCCAGGCTTGGGGGCGGCTTCTGCAACATATTGCTGGTTCAAACCCCTATCAAACTTCGACAGGGACATGGCTGTGGCTCAAAAGCATCGGAAAAATGGCACCTTGGTAAATGGAACCAAAGACTACTGTATCACCTGCGTAACCCTAGCTCTTTAATTCTGAGCCACACCCACATTCTGCTGAAATCTATAGGTCATGCACTTGTTCAAAAGGACAAGCTTGGCAATCCTGCCAACATCGGTGGATGTGTGGGGGTGCTGCTGTGCTCGCTGCTCGCATTTACTGCCATTTTGGGTTCATCATGCTAGGAAATGCTCCTGGCACTGGCGTTGCCGGAGCGTGTGTACCGATGTATGTATATACAGCAACTCATTTATTGATTTATTAGTTAATTTGATTGTTTTTGATGGATTACGTAGTTACTGTATGATTGATTCCTTTGTTGCGTATTATATGTGTTTGAACAAAATGGTTTACGTACTTATTGATTACTGATCCAATTTATTGATTTATGTTATGTATACTGCAGATGCATGAACCGCCCAAAGGCCCTTGATGTTGACCCCGAAAGGTCTTCGCCGGCAATCAAGTCCGCCTGGAAGTCAGAGGTTTCGGCTTCGTCCGGGTCCCATGAACCAAAAAGTGCTTCGGCTTTCAAGCCGTTGGACGACTCAGGTAAAGGACATCACCTTTTCCACCTTGGAGCCTGCCGACAGCGAACGCGCCTGGCCGAAAGAAGGCCAAAGAAAGGGCTTTGGGTTGGCTGAAAGTTTGTGTGTGCGTGTGTGTGTGTGTGTGTGTCGTTTTGAGAGTTGGTACCCCCCCCCTTTTCGTGGACGCACGATAAGGACCCAGCAACCCACAGATTTTGTGGTTCGTTTTCCCCGACAAAGTTGGGAGCCCCAGTTTTGAGCAGCCATGTTTTCTGCTTGGGGCTGGTTCCCAAGGCCAAACTATTACCAAGGCCATGAGTTTGTTCTCAGAATGGGGGGGGGTTCTATCAACCTACGGGGTAGCACACGCAAACCCGTTAAAAGCCATCCTACGTTTGGTTTCCTTTCACCAACCTAAGGGGTACCGTCAACATAGGCAAACCTTAGATACAGCCATTCTACACTTTTGCACTTTCAAAGAAAAAACAGAAAAAAGCATCGCCCCCTTTAACCACTAAGAGCAGAGGGTCGCACTTGGAATTTCGCCCTGGTCAAGTCAGGTTTGAGCTTTCGAGGCTGGACCGGGTGGCGACCGGCTTGCAGCTTGAAACAGCTTTAGGCATATCCGAGGCAGCTTTGAACATGTGGTGTCAAAACCCCCCCAACATGGGTGGCTCACCTGTTCCCCGTGAAACCAAGAAGGGCATCCTCAAAGAAGCACACCCATCCTTGATCCGCTTGCGCTTTGAACATGCGGAGAGGGTGTCGTCCGACATTTGCCGATGGACATTTGGGCTTGGGCTGTTTTGGAGCGCAGAGATTGAATCGGAAAGATACTTTGTCGCCAAGGTATAGGAAATTGCATGTTTCAACATATTGGTGTTGCTCAAAATAGAGGTCCCTAAATGCCCCTCTAAAGCCAGCAGGTGGTCCACCATTTTGATCAACTTTCATATGCACATTCAATATTGCATGTGTCCTGTGCACCGTCACCAATGTGTCCAACATATCATCAGACTGATTGTTTCCAGCCACTAGAAGTAACAAGCTCGAGAGGCGGCATCGCGAATCTGCAAATACATGTAACGCTTCAAAGGCTTGCTCTCTTGCTTCTGGCCAGCAACCTGGTTGGCAACTGAGGTGGCGCTGCAAGTGCTGCCCGGCAAAGAAATGTGCCTGTTTCCTGCTGTTTGCGTCTTCTGTTTTCGGAGACCCCCCCCCCCGAACATGGTGCAACGGTGTTCCTTTTGGTTTCCCACAAGGATGGGCTCCCCAACAAAAAGACACACCCATACAACTCTAACCAGCTTCAAGAAGTTACTACCAACTGCCTCCTTTCCACAAGTCACCTAAGACACGGCTACAAAACAAGCCTTGCAGATTCTTGCACCGGGCCGACTCCCCTGAAAGTCAAGGCATTTTCAGGTGTGGGTTTTGGAAGTATGGAGGTTACTTAAGTGGTACAATGGCAGATACAGCCTTACAAGCTTGTATAGGTAGTATGTAAGCATCTATGCGTCCAAAGCCCATACCTGAAAATATCCTTCAAAACGTCATGGATTTTCCTGGATGGGACACAGGTATCACGCAGGGGGTTGTGGGTTCTCAGAGTGAACCTCGCATTCATAAAGCCGGTTCCTTTCTGTGGGAGGTGCCCTTTGGCGATGACCCCTTTGAGTTGCCCATGTCATTTGCTGTGTGGGATGCTTAAAGAGACATAAGACCCTTTGTTGGGGTGGGCAGCCGAAGAGGCTGAAACCAAACACCCCGAGAGTAGGATTCACAGAGCGGTCACAAGTTCACTGTGGGTTTGCCATGAGCTCGCCAAAGACGAGCTCATGAAGGCTCCTCAAGTTCCTGAACAGCAATTTGTGCAAAATGGGTGTTTTGTTCTGCAAACTAGATGTGAGTTTTAGTTTCTACCGGAAAAAGGCACTGCACAACTCAAACATCGTATGAGTACCCAAAGGCCTTTGGCGTTGGGCAGCCGAGGTGACACGCATTCGAGGTCGCAAACCCACATGGGTGTGTCTTTTTGAGGTACCCCTTTGTGGCTTTAAAGGGAACCCAAAAGGAAAACGGCAGTTTTTTGATTTGTCCCTAAAAATGACGCACCCAAATCAACGCTCGCAAGGAAGTTCACGGTGAAGTGCCCTGATAAAATGAAACCAACAACAGCCACAGTGCTCGGAACGATCGCACACTATTTAAAACTCGGGTCTAGGGCAAGCTCATTGGGTGAAATGAGAGCAGGCTCCGTGATGATTCCTTTTCCGGCGGGTTAGTTCAGGTTTGGGGACTGGCCATTCAGGAAAGTCCAGATGGCGATTTGCGACTAGTGCGAAAAAGGTTGTAGCACTCTGGGGATTGCAGCTCGGCTCGTCCTCCGACCCCACTTTCTTTTGTACAACTCACTTGCCCAAAGCAAATCGACCTGAAATGACCTTTTGGCTTCCCCAGATATGTTACCGTTTTCTTTAATTTGCCCTTAGTGGCTTCTTTGGCTAAGCAGGCAAGAAGCATATTTTTTGTCTGACTGAAGTATTATCATTGTTGTTAGTATTTGTGTTGTTATGGTTGGTTCTCTGATTATCCGTATCCATCATTATCACTCTTGTTGTTGTCAACTTTCCCGATATTGATCCATGTTTTTATTTTGGTTTCCGGAGTCGCCCCCAACGGGTAACCCTTGTTCCGTCGCCTCCCATGCCCAGGAGGCGTCCAGCTCCAGCTACACCGCCGCGCCCCCAAAAACGCGCTACTCCCGGGGTGGAGTCGAAGCAGATCTTCGAATGGGATTCTCTTGTTACACTAGATGTGGCCGTGGGAAACCAATGGTACCATTTTACCACCCATTTTGGGATAGAATATTGACCCCGGATTAATAAACCCCAGTTGATTAATATGAAGTTGTCCCTGGTTTTCAGACCACTTTTGGAGGGGAACACCCCCCATCCTAATAAACCGGGGTTTATTCATCCAGGGTCATCAGGTGTCTGATTCTGTAGATATCTCCCTGTGCCAATATGTCTTTGTGGAGTCTCCTCATTTTTCGGAAGATGTCCTGTCCCTTTCCTTTCAGCATGTGTTTTCTGTTTGTGGGATTGGTTCTGTCTAGGCAGAAAAGCCACCGAAGCACCTTTTGGCTGAATCGTGATTCGGTTGCCAAAATCAGGCGAGCTTGCTTTAAGCGGGCTGCTTGAAGAAGAAGGGGAGTGCGCAACATGTTTGTTTTTGGTACCCCTACACATCTAGCACCCTAGAGGGGTTCCCCCCAAAAGAGATGATTCCATGGACATGTTCAGACTCCAGCGATTCCAGGAAGCATAATCTCAGTTTCCCAAAGTGAAGCGACCGAATTTGAAGTTTCTTTGATGGTGCCTTCTGGCACTGCCAGAGTTCTGTCTACGTTCTACGCCGAGAGGGATGTTTGACAAAGGGACTTTTTCTTCAGATTCTTGACTTCCTGTTGGTTTCCCCTTAAAACCATCCAAGCAGGGGACCCTTTTTAAGAAACACTCAGAGAGAGACAGAGAGAAGGGGCAAGCAGACTGCTGGTGGAACTTGCCTTTGGGTTGGACACTTGCTGGCACAAAATGCTACTGAACATGTCCTCTGCTTAGTTGGGTGCTCCGGATAATTCGAACATCAATTTCAAAATCGATCCCGGATTCACCAGGGTGAAAGTAGTCTCCCGGTAGATGTGGGTCAGTTGAGGCGAGTGACTAAACCAACACGTAAAGAGCGAGAGAGTCCCTTCCTTTCCCTTGGCAAGGGCGTGGCTGTTCACTGTTGAAGTTTGCAGTCGCGTGTTTGTTGACTACCTTGTATTTATGTTGCGCCAAGAGGTTGAGGTCGAGGCACAGAATAACTACTGCGCATCTCAAACATCTGAAGCTTTGTTACAATGTGTTTTACGAAATATATGTTTATATGGTCACCTCCCCCACGATATCCCGTCACTTTATCTGCTTGTAAAATGCTTAAAAGCCATGCGTTACGTAAGATGTGTTGCTTTCACATTGGGTTTGATGGGTGGTCGGAATTCGACCATCCTGCAAATCCAAGAACAAGTGTAAACAAAAAGACTCTCTGTTGTTCATGGCTTTGCTTGTTTGAAGCTAAACAACACGTGTTTCCCATGTTAACCCTTGTGAGCATGTGTCTTGGTACGTGGCTACAAATTTGTTAAACATGTGGAAACACGCAAAGCAACAAAAAGCTTTCGGATGAGTTTCGGAATTGCCAAAAGGTGTGTTGTTTTCTTGAGTTTTATGTGGGGTTTCCCTCAGCTGCTTTTTGTGTCCCGCTTTATCCCTCCAAAAATAAGTTTGCTCGAGTGTTTTGTTTTTTGTTGGTGAGTGCCAGCAAGAAAAACAACACTGGTGTTTGTTGATTTCTGCTGAAAAAATAAACCAGAAACCTGCTTGTTTTTGTCTTTTTGCACGTGCCACATGGAAACCTCGAGTTCTGTTGTGGTTTTTTGGAGGGCGAAAGCCCTCAAAACTGAGGGAGATTCAACAAAACCAACAAAACTCGAGAAAACCGAGAAAACAAACAACAAACCAAACGTGTTCTTTCTATTAGTTGTGTTTGTTTAGTGTTGTGAAATGTGTTGTGTTCCTCAGTTTGTTAATTAGAGGTTTGTGAAGTATATCGGACCAAAAAACCGAACACTCAAAGTTTGTGGGTCCACATTCAACTGCAGCCCAGAAAACAACAAAAAAAACATTTGTTTGGTTTACTCCAAAAGCCGAAAAGACTGACGGGAAACCAAAGATAGACAACAGAACCTCGATGAAGCAAAAAGATTCTTTTGGCAAAGCGCTTGTTTTTCCTCAGGGTTCTCGTTGCTTCCTCACTTGACAGGTTTAGGGTTGTTAGGCTTTCAGCGACGTCCGACCTCCACAAGCAGTCGCCCGCCGACAGAGCCTGTGACAGACAGCGGCAGAGTTTGCGACGACAGATGTGACAGCCCTAGGTACTCCGGCCTGCGAATGTGCTTGGATGAGCCCGACAGTGCTCTCTTAAGTACATGTTTCGTGCGGCTCAAGGACATGGTATTGCTCGCCCGTGAATGACGGTTCCATGGTCTGCGGGGGCCTGGAAGTGCTGAGAAAATTAGCTACATCAGCCGTCAAGCCACCTCGCAACGCTGACATTTTGAGCGGAACTCCCAGTTTTCACCAGTTTCTGTCCAGATTTGCTGCCCTTCAGCCACGCCGAAGGCCGCAGCCGCTAGCTCCTGTCGAGATTCGATTAATTACGGAGTTTTTTAGATGTGCAAGGAATTTGCTGTGCAGTGAAATGTGAAACGTACGCTCGAGACCCAGAAGGATGTTCTAGGTGCTGCGAGAGTTCTGCGAAGCTCGGGCACTGAAGGGGTGGCAAGCAGAGTGGCAGGTTGCATCGGGGTTGCAGAGCCAGAACTTCGGGCCAACAAATAATGATCCATGGACCAATGCGCGTGTGCGCGTCCAAAATAGAGGCCCCAAAACGGAGCCCCAAGCCATAAAAAAGAAGTTTAGGCACTCCCATGTTTGTTCTTGTAACTGGAAGTGATGATCTCGCGCGTGCCGTTGGCGCAGCTTCAGTGCACAGAGGGCCACAGATGCAAAACTTCATGAAGGGCAACCCCAAACTCGCAGTCATCGCCTGGAATGTGAGCATACACTGCTGTCAGACACAGTTGTACGACAACTGGTTGTTTTGCAACGGCCTTCAGTCGGGTGTGGTGTTTCCAAACACATAAAACACCAGGAATCGAATGGAAGAAGTGAGCGGAGACAAGCAAAATCGCCAGGTGCTGGATGGTCCATCCTAAGAAAAGATACTGAACCAACATATGTATTTTTCATATCTATAGGCGGCAGTCTCCTCCAAAATTTTGCATATTGGAAAACATGCGCAACACATTTATTGCTTAATCACATCTTTTGGGAAATGCTCACACACATGTTTCCAAAATAGGCTGTAGTTTCTCACATAGACGGCCCGATAGGCAGCTGCTGGGCAGTCCAGCGCGGCGCACGCCGCGGGGTACTACAACAACCGGGCGGCGCACGACAGCTTTGAGCCTCGAGGCGTCCGGTTTTTTTGTTTCATTCCAACTCGAACTGGTCGGCGGGACTTATTCGTAGACACCGCTGGCTTTCTTCAGTTCAGACCGCCGAGCCTTAGCTAAGGGTTGCAGAGAAACCAGGAAAACTGGGGCGGAAAGTTGCGGCCGCGGCAATGTCGCGTCGCTGGGCGGACTACTCCAGCGACTCGGCTGGACACGCTGGGAAACTTGCCGTTGCGCAGCTGTGAACAAAAGCGCGCGCCGCGCGTTGCGACAACCACTCGACGCCCAGGAGAACAGGCTCTTCAGTCATTTTCGAAGTTCGCGGGGCTCATGGCCCATCAGCAAACCCTTCGGGGTGTCAGGAAGTGTTCCGCCACGAGTAGCCTTGGGTTTCTGCCACGAGAGTCGTGATTTCCGGCGCTACGTGAGTTAGATGCTACACAGCGTCCTATCTTGGGTGGTTTGAACACCTTTTTGATTCAGTTTTCCTGCGGTGGCGCGATTTCCTTTGCATGAGCGATGTCAAATTAATTAACATTAGCGATTAGAACACGCACTTAGTTGAGCAAGAAAAGGGTCTCGTTAGACGTTCCATCTTCTCTTGCAATGTACATAATATCTCGCTTCCATGAAGAGAACTTATCAAGCGGAAAATTCTCATTTCATGAGTGTGCAAATCAGGGTTTAAACATGCGCTCCTTTTGATAATTATTTAGTCAATCATAGTTGAAGGAAGAAAAAGATTAAATGTCAATGTCTATTTTGTGGAAGCACGGAACGGGTTCTTGTTCTAAAGACCCCCGCCAGTTTCACCTGCCAAAATCTCCTTGGCTGCACTTCCAAGAACAGCAAGCGAACTTTTTGTTCTCAAGTCTGAACAGCCTTCTTCTGTTTCAGAGGCGGGTAGGCCGAACGGGAGATATCGAAAAGCACCCCTCTTGAACAGCGAAGCGCTCTCGCCGTGGCGCCACGAGAATGAATTCGGCAAACTCTGCGGAGATCGTGCGCATCGAAGCGCTCTCGCTGTGGCTCCGTGCAAATGTGCAAAGAAGCTCCGGCTCGAAAATCACTAGCGCACAAAGCACACTTTTCAGCTTTCAAGCAGCGCTTGACCAATTCACGTCACCCAGAACTACATCTGCATGGTTAACCTATTTCGATAAACAGTTTTTGTAGAGGTAATGGAAACTCAATGCAACAAGATACTACAAGGGTCGTTCATGGGGGTGAGCTATGGAGCAGATGCCGACAATCTTGCCATCTCAGCCGCTGAGGATGTGGACATCTCAGAGGATATTGAGAAGTTCAAAATGCCGGTGCTGGAGGAACCTCAAGGCACCTTGCCGTGGCTGAGCACGCACCCGAAACCTAACCGTTAAAGCACTTTGCCGCCCAAGGTGCCCAGCATAAAAAGGCCAGTTGATTACAGTAGCATTCTGTGGTTTTTACGCCATTTTGTTCCCTGATAGCTGTTTCTCCACCAGTTAGACGTCGAAAACACGAAGTCAAACGCACCCGGCCCCAGAATAGCAGTGCCTTTTATCATTTCCAACCTGTGAATTGCAGTAGCCTGTGCAGACGGAACTGGAACCCCATGAAGGATGATTCTCGGTTGAGAGAGTCACATTTTGCAGGCTTTGAATCATGTATTTGCCTTTCAGGCGAGCAAGCAGGCAGGCATGGGCTTCAAGTTACGCATCAATCCGCAGAAGGTTGCATTCTGACAGTGTTGCTGACATTTGGACCTTGTTAGTCTTTGCCGTATGAGTTTCGCAGATGACCAGGTAGATTGTTTTCGCCGCCGTTGTAAACCATTATCAAAACCCAAGGAGGCCACATGACAACTACGGCCAAGTCATTTCTGGAGAGATTCCGATGTGGTGCGTGGTTCAAACACCAAGCCAACCTCAGCAAGCCTGTGGCGTTAACATTAAACCCTGGTTAGCGTCTGAATTTGCATAGGGAATGATAGAATCTAAACTATGCGCCCTTACACTTGGCAAGATTGGTGGAAGAGTCCCTGGGCATTTGGCAGTGGCTTCCCTCCCCCGCTCCTGGGTTCGCAACCGTGTGTGTTCAGTCCAAAAGTTATCATGTGGACGGCATTTGGGTAAGTGCAAGAGTTGGATCTCATCAAAAAGCATTTGTGCGTGTGGAAAGATAGAAAGACAAGAACATGTTCAAACTTTACAACAGCTTCACACCAAAAAACGAGAATATTCGCAAAAACAAACACATGACAAACAACATGGCGATGAAATGGGCTTCCCTTTTCACCTGTTTTGACACAGGCATTTGGAGGCCAAGAGTGGTGATTACTCTTCTGCACTGCTCGCTGAAACACGTGACTGGGTCCGGAAAAGATACTGTTTGGCCCTTCAAGCCATAGTGCGATTGCCTGATTTGATCTTGGACTGCATCAACTCAGGCTGCCCTCACGCAGTGTTTGTCAGACATTAGATCATGCACTTTGCCCAAGTACGCCCAAACAAATTGCTTGAAAGCCGCGCGCCAATTCCCTCGAATTCTGCCACCAGAATACGGGCCACGCTAGCTTCCTAAAGCCTGAGTTTCTTGCTGCAAAAAGACTCGGACGGGAACATGCTTAGCCTTGTTGTCCAAGGCCCACCCAGCGCCCCGGCAGTGACAAGGGCGACCGACCGAATCTTTTGTGGTAAGGCGATGAATGGGCCAATTGATTTGAGTCAAAGTCAGAGGTTGATGCCCCATCTTGTTCAACTCTTCCTTTTCAACAATATGTGTTTTTGTCCTGCGCCGCTGCTTTTGGGAGAATGGTTCCTGGAAAGCCCGCGAAAAGCCTTAGTGACACTCCTGGGTCCTCTCTGGCAGAAAGGGTCGAAACTTGTGGTTCACAACACCACATCCTGTGGAGTGCCCAAGACGAATGCGGACTGGTCCTCAAGCCACCGATGTCAACGTTTCATTCGATCGTGCTGTTCTACCATGCCCAATGTCGGGTCGTTGTCAATGCCGGAACGAGAAGCATGACCCGAGTAGGTCTCTACCTGTGGTGTTTGTTCCCTTGCTCAACTGCTATGGGAAACGGAATCACTGGAATATACCAATGTAGCGGTGTGTCAAAACAAAGAGCCCTGTAGGCGACAGTCGTGAGTTTGCAAAAAAACAAATCTGTCCGGACACGAAACATGTTTGAGAGTCCTAGTCTTGTCAATATTTAGTGATTGGTACTACCCTCAACGTGGTTGGCGGAAACGGATCCCCATGTTTTTGGCAGATGTCACCAAAGAGTTGACACACCGGCCATCAGGATTCCAACCGTGATTGTGACCATCCCTTAGTCGGCCATTGCGCAGGAAATCGTGCGCTCAGATGTTTCCCATGGCAAATGTCGGGTGGTTGCTTTAGCCTTGGCACCCGTGTACTTCTCCAAGGGTGACAGCTGAAAACGAAGTCGCGTCCTTTTAAACCGGTTTTTTGGCAGACTAAACATGTAATAGAGTCGGAAAGTTGTATTTTCAGTGTAGATGTGGGCCCAGGTGTTGTGATTGTGACCTCCAGTGGTGTCGCCACAGCCAAGGCTGCTCGCACCTCATCAAGGGCAAATGGCGGCCAGACGGAGGGCCAGGCAGCGCTGTGAATCCACAGGTGTGCCGTGGCAGCGCAAGACCCAGCATCCCGAGTCCATTGCAGTGTTGGACAGCAATCAGCCCGTTCAGTGCTGGTTGGCTTAAGATCTAGAAGCCAAAAGGTGATCCATTTCATGTGCTTCACCGGCAAATAGCCAATGGACTGCAGGTGAGGATATCAAGTTTTCCGCGAGCGAAATGTTGAGCGCATCACAATGGTTGTGCGAATAACGCCGATAACTTGTTTGATGTTGTGAGGTGGGTGAAATATGCTATATCGCGGGGACTGATCAACGACTTTCAGACAACTGAGGTGGGGGACAAGATTGCAGCGCGTTTGATGTTCGCATGCTACCTCAAACTGCCTGAAACCCTTAAGTTTGCTGCATCAAGCTAAAACCGCTCTGGAATATTCAGTCCAGCCTGACTCAATAGTTTGCATTTTGTGAGGGACTCAGACGTTCCACTTCCTTGGCCCTGGACCCAAAGATACCCTCTAAGCACCTGGATCTGAGACTGGGTATGAGATTTTGAATTAGACTTCTTCTTCCAGAACCTGTTTTCTTGATGATTCTCTGGTTCGTTTAACGGGGACTGACCAAGTGAGTCGCTGCACTTCTGGAATCGACCACTTTTCGACTGGGCAATTCCCCAGTTCTGGCCAGATCCGCGTCCAAGAAATGTCCCAAACTCCAAGGATACTCAGGAAGAGCGCCCCGAATGGTTGAAGGACCTAAATTCCCAACGTGGGTATGGGTCAAAATTAAGCCACCAGGAGACCACAGGTGTTTGTCCATGTTTTCATTTACCAGGGTCCCATTTTGGGTACCGATTTGTGGCCCACAGCCGTGTTTTACCAACGGTTTCATTCAAAATCATACAGCCGGGAGGCACCAGTCCAACCGTGAGCTTTGGTCGATTCACAGAGCAAGTGAAATCAAGGCAGCTGGCTACACAGCGCCTCACGATGATTCGACGCTTGGAGAGGGTGCCCGTGTTGTTGGTGGGAACAAACCAGCTATTTTGTGCCAGTTGTTTGGGAGTTTAAGGGAAACAAACCGTGGGGTCCAGCATGTTGAGGCAAACCCGAATAGGCAGAAACCGTGTTGTGTCCATGGCCTGCAAAACAGGGGAACTTCGAGCACTTGCGTTTGACAAGCCCAATTAAATGAAGGCTGTTTGCAAAACCACGCTGACACAGGTCGTCGTAGGTTGCATGGTTTCATGTCGCAAGATGTTGTGGCTCTATCTTTCAATTGGGAGATGCGTTTGTGGTTTTGACTTGACTCGCAGCTTTGATGGTTGCCATGAATAGCCACAGTCAGCAATCATCCCATGCCGAAGGATAGAGGTGCGTTCTGTAGCACACCAGCGCCTATTGGTTTTGGGTGCCTGAGTGTGTATGTGTGCGTGTGTGTGTGTGTGTTGAAAGGTGCACGCCTAATTGTGATTAACCAACTGCAGCTTGGGGGAGGTATTAGCTTGCAGCTTGTTGCGCATCGCTTGCAACTAGCAAAGGCAGGAATCACTAAACATGATACACCCGACCGTCACGCACAGTCTTTTGAGCTGAATCTTTCAACCCATTCTGCTCGATTCTCAAAGTGAGCAAGCGTCATTTGGCTGTTTGGTACTCGGCCTTAGACCACCTCCGAGACATGGCTTTGAAGAGCAGTCGGACCAGATCAAATTCACAGATTTATCGATTCCAACCAGTTGTCTACCTACTGCGGCGAAGCTCGATCTTGAAGGGATCACTGATCACTGACAAGTCTGGCGGGAGTGACTCCTCTCTGTGAACCACAACCTCAGGTAGCTCTGATGAATGTGTGCTCTCTAAACAAATGCTGTTGAGTTGGGTCTTGAACCTTTTAAATCTCTGGGCACATCATTGTCCCACGAACGGGCAAATGTTAAAAACTTGCTGGGTATGGTGTTCTAGCCATCAAGCAATGTAGAGCAAGCTATTTTCAGAATCACTTTGGGTTAGGTTTACTCTGTGAAATTGACTCAATGGGCAGCTCAGTCTAAGATTTGCCCCAGGTCGATCCTTGAGGGAGGTCTTGTCGTCTTGATGCGCTTCTGGTTGCTTTCACTGTCCTTGCTATCATTCATGCACTTCTTTCCGGTAGACGGCACTGTTCGTGACTTTCGGGCTGGAAAGGGCAACAAATTAAAGATGTTCCAAGGTCAGCCAGACTTGGCGCGTGACCCGGGGCAACCGGCTAGGTCGGTTTCACCATCTTCCGACTTCGGGACCCTCTGGGCTCCAATTCGGAGGGCAAAAGATGCAGGGGCACAGCCCGAATCAAGAGACTCGATCACCATTGTCGAGTGGCAAGGGAAGTAATCTATGGGGCCACGGTTTTCCCAGGGCTGATCATGAGTAAAACAGCACTTGAAGCTTCAAAACAAGTCCAATCCCAGGTTTCTTCACACCACGACCTGCCTTCATGGCTTGGTTTTTTGCGAGCTGGCCTAGGGGCAGAGCTACGCTCGCCCTTGCTGGAGACGAACAGCACCTTGGAAGCTGGGCTGCATGTGGCGTTTCCAGGTTGAGGCCAGGGTGTCCTTCCGTTTCCCGTTTTGGAACCTCCAAAAGTGGAAGTTTCAATGAAAACCACCAGCAACTTGCAACCTTCGAAGGGAAATTCCAGTGACCCCTGCGGACAAATGTTGCAGCTTCCTTCAAAGCAAAAGCTCCCCAAGATTCGCAGTTTGTGGAAAGGATGTCAAAACCGGTTGCACCTTCAGATGTCCTTCTTTCAGCCCATTCCACTAGGTGGACACGTTCAACCTGTGTCCAGAGCTTGGGGAGTGCTTCACGTGTCAGATTTCTCCGCTGGACGTGGGCATTTCTCAAAATGGCGGACCCCCTTTTTTGGTTGGTATTGGAAGGAGACCAAAAGCAAGCCAAGCATTTTAGGGGACCACGATTTTGAGAAACGTCCATGTGTGTTTTGTGTTTTGCTCAATCGTCATGCTGGCAACACTTGAGGACTAGAACATGTCTTTCCAAGTATCCAGGGTTGTAGCTCAAGATGGCATTCTCCCATAAGACAGTCGTGACAGTACGAAACCTGGAGACTTGTTTCAACTGGGTTGAGCATGCGTTTGTCTCTAAGCGGAACCCCTCAAACCACTAGATGTCCCTTCAATTTCCAGACAAACACGACAACAGGTACCGTGAAAAACATGACCCCAACACAAGTCTCTCACTGCACCTGTCCTCACCAAGCACGAGTTGTTCAAATGCAAGGCGGTGTCAGCATGATTATGAGTGTTCGTATGTGTCTAAGGGTACCTTTTCACCTTAGTTCAAGGGGAAACCAAAAGGAAAACCAAAATTAGCGTTGGGGTCCCTATTTTGACACCCATCTCTAAAATCACTGTAGCTGATGCGAAAGCGTCTCCGTTTCAGTATATACGGGCATGTGATTTTGAGGGTACTCTTCAGGTTGGCGAAAAGAGGAAGCCAAAAGGAAAGCATTCACATTGGGAGTCCTCTTGTTGGATACATACCCGTTCTGGCAGGCCCAATTTCACCTCACATCGAGCCTCACATCCCCAGCTTCTGAACTTGATAGGCAATCATGTCAAGTGGAATGAGCTGAGCGGTCAATCTCAGGAAATGAGCAAGAGACATGCAACTCGCTCACCGCTTCTTGAGCCAAACACTGCGGCAACTTGTGTCGCCTGGTGCCTTCAACCGTTTGGGCCCTGCAAGAGGGTTAACCAGATAGCTATCTCCCTACCTCCCAGACCATTTAAGCAAGCCTGTCCACACAGTCCATAGACATCTCAAGCCCCGTGGCGTCCTGGCAGATCGGTGAACGGTCGTGATTCATGGTCCAGATGTGCTTAAACAGTTCTTTTCCCTTTGGGCTCCTAAGCCAACCCAAAGGGCACCAACTCAAATGCATATATTTGCGTGTGTCGTTTTGCAGACCAAAATGGTGGTCTTGCGTTTGGTTTGTCTCCACCACAAAGAAATGGGGTACCAATTCTTGAAAAGGGCGCCCATTTTGTCTGCACAGGCCCATTGATTGGAACCTTTGTAGCCCATTGTCGAGTTTCCTTTGGTGGTGTTCCCCTAGGCAAACTTGGCGGTTCCGAGTCGTCGCGGTAGGTTTAGGCGTTTAAGCCTTCGTGGGGGGTGTCCATTGAACCCACAAAATTCAAGCTTTGAGCAGGGGATCTGGCGGAAGTTGTGACTTGAGGAGATCTGGCTTCTGAGCGGCACCCACTGGGGCCAGCGCGTTAAAGACCTCTCCCCCGAGAATGAGGAGGACCAAGGCGGAGGCATCTCGATCCGGATGGACACGACCCACACCTTCGGCGGTTACCATCCTTCCAGGGGCATCCACTTTGCACCGGTTGGGAAACATGAAGTCCTGAATACTGCGATCCATCCACCAACTAGGGCAGGATTTGTCCAGGCGTTGGTTTTGCTGAACAGACAGAAAAATCTAGATCCCTCTGTTGATTCATCGGATTTCCCCCACAAGGGAAGTTCACCGATGGGCCAAACAGATGGACCTGTCTTAGGGGACCCCCCAAAATGGCTTTGGTGGTCCTTTTGGTTTCCCTAATCAACCTTCCAAACCCAAGTCATGGGTCTGGTCTGGGTATGCGTCTAACCATGGCCACCTACGTAGCTGACGTACTTCCAAGTCGCGTTTTGAGTGCACGTTTCCCAGATGGGTTAAAGGGAACCGAAAGGCACACCGTAATCCATGCTTGGGGATGAGGTTGAAGCCTACTTGCTCCCAAAGGCAGTGACCATGGGAAAAAAGGAGAGAGCAATTTGCTGGTAGTTGATTTTCAGGGGAAGCCTACCTTACCCCAAGTTGGTGATTTGGTTTGGTGGTTTGGGCATTAAGGGGAATTTCCCCATACCAAATAAGCTGTAGCTGAGAGTTGAAACCCCCTCCACAAAAAGAAGAATCACAGTGAGCAACCCACAGGTTTGGGTAAGTCGGTTCATCCTGTTTGACAAAGCTCCCATATTCCCCTTTTGAACAGGGGAAAAGGAAACTCACTTTAGAATGGCAACCGAAACGTGATGGATGTGTGTGTGTGTATGTGTGTCTGTTTTGATGTAACCCTGTTTTAGGGGTTGGTTTGAGGAGCAGCCAAAGGGACAACCACATGTTGTTTGCCCTTTTTGGGGGCTCGGACCCGTTTTTCGGGGTGGCCAAGAGGTGGTCAGCCTGCGAGAAGCATGCACACATGTTTGCCTGGAGTATGAGTGTGCGTGGTGTGTGTTTTGGTTGCACTATCTGCTCGGAGGTTTGCACATGTTCAATCCTTCCTGCAGGGGATCGCAAGAGGCAAGGGTACCCTCAAAGAGACACACCCATGATCGCGTGGCGCACCCTCCGTGCTTTGCGCAGTCGACAGGAGAAGACCAGCTCCTAACAGAGAAGACACAAGCCATGTTGAAGGCCGGGGGAGGGGCTGGAATGTCCCATTTGGCTACAGTCATGTTCATATAGGTGTGGCTCAAAATTGAAGAGCCAGGAAACCACAGGCTTTAGTCCATGTTTCCATTTACCAGGGTTCCATTTTGGGTACCTATTTTTGACACACAGCCATATCTAAAAAGCCTTGCTCCCCCAGTGAGCCCGTGCTTCACCACTCGCGGCCGCAGGAACAGGAGGAAACTAAGAAAGGCCAGACGGAGATGGGCGGTCGACCAGTTGACCCATTCGGATCCCCCGATTCGCAAGGAGAGCCCTGCAAATTACCATGGCACTTGGGCCGGTTCTAAATGAACATCCTTTGCACGGCCCAAAGCGAATCAACCTTTTGACCTTTCAGTTTCCCAAACTTGGTCCAGTTTTTGTCAAGGTCCTAAAAGGTTGATCTTTTGTTTCCGGTTCCCTAAGGGGCAAGATATTTTTAATAAGCTGATTCACAGGAGCCCGGCCCAATTTGGACGATGAAGCTCTGGTGAAGAATGGTTGTATGGGGATTTGACTTGTTCCCCTCGTTCATGTCCCATGGTATTCAGAAGGAATCCGTCCTGTTCACAAGGCTCAGCTTTTTGGAGTTACCCATTTTGGGGGTACACTATAGTCCACGTTGCCACCCACCAAAAGGTACCTACAAGGAAAATGGTTTCCAGAACCCAGTCAGGTTCCATGTTTGTGGACGGGGAAACCAAAGGGAAAGCCACCTTCTTCTTCGTGTTCTGCTTCTGCTTCTTCGTCTTCGTCTTCTTCTTCTTCTTCTTCTTCTTCTTCTTCTTCTTCTTCTTCTTCTTCTTCTTGTTATTGTTACTGTTCTTGTTCTTGTTCTTGTTCTTGTTCTTGTTCTTGTTCTTGTTCTTGTTCTTGTTCTTGTTCTTCTTTTTTGTTGTTTGGGGGGGGGCATTTCAAGACGCATAAGGAAACAAAGGTGAAATTTGTGGGCTGAATGATTGAATCTCTTTGCCGGAAAGCACCTTTTGGTGAGTGCCGAGTGCTCAGCAAAGATTGCTACTCAGCTTCCATGTTCAGCCACATCAAAAAGTGGCAATGCCGACCCTTAGATCAATACCGAGTGTGTGTCCGCAAGACGGGACTGCCTCTGTGGAGCACCTTGTAAATCAACCAGGGGTCTGTCAAACCTCATGCTTCCGCTTCCGAGGTGCTCGGCGCTACCAGATCCTGTCGTCAGCCCAAAGCCGCCAGGGGGCCCAGAAAACCGCCCATGAGCTCTGGGCTTGCGGCTCGCTGGGTCAGAACGGAGTCCCGTTGAAAGGGAAACCAAAAAAAACACCGTTGCCATGGAGGAACCATGAAATATATATATATATATATATATTTGGGCCCTTGAGTGGACAACATGTACATGACCATTTTGGAGTCGGCGAAAAAAGGGCCATGGAAGTGCTACATTCCCGTCCTGTGGCTTTGAATCGGTATTTGACTGAGCCGTGTTTCTACGATACTAGCGAAGCAGGGAGTACAGGAAATCCATTTGTTTTCTTTTGGAGTTTCGCCAGTGTCCCCCTCTCCGGTAGCTATGAGTGTTTGCTTGTTGGTGTGCCCAGATGCATCGCAGCTCGAAAGACATGCCGGTTTGTTTCCTGGAACCCAGGAAACAAGCCTTCCCGGGTCAGGACAAGAAGGACTATGGGCTGGTCATTCAGGTAACCCCTTGGTGGGATTGCTTTGGAATTGAATTTGCTTTCTTGTAGAGGGTTCGCGGGAAATCACCCACTTCCCAACCACGCTCCAAGCCAATGGAGCTGAATAGTCGTGCCAGATCCGATGCCTGAGCCTTCCCAAGTGAGCAACGGATAACTGTCATCTACCATAAAGGGGTGACATGGCACCACTCACCAAAAGACCATGAGGAAATGGGGGGTGCTCATCAAATTCCCATGTCAGTTGGGCAATGAGTATTGACTGTGGCTCAAGCAAGCAAGCCTTACAGAGAAGCCGCCCAATCCTTGACGAATGCTCTTTGGGGCTGACTGCCAATCCCTAAGCATGTGTGAATGTTGGCGAGTAAGTTAAGTGAGTGAAGTAGTTTGGTATGAATTTAGTTAGGGACCCGTTGGCCGACACCATTCTTTAAGATGGCCACGATGAATAGGTGACTTGTCAAATGCCGGTATGCTGTGTTTTCCCAGAATGCACAGGGCGCCCAGCAGGGACCTGGTCAAAGACAAGCTTGCGCAGCAAAAAGTTGAATTATGTCATGGGTTCTTCTCAGCCTCACCGCCTCACGAAAGTCCTTTGCCTGAGGTGGGAGTCATCTAGTATGAAAATGAGCAAAGCAGCACTCAGCAGCACTCCAAAGTGCCACATGTGTTTCATCAAGCCTCACTTAGGTTCTATGTCTTTCCTAGGGCCTAATTCAGGTTCCAGGTTCGTTTGTGGGTTAGCAATGCCCAAGCACCCAGAATCAGTTCATGCCGGAGATCTGCATCCTGAATTGGACGAAGGCCAACCGACCCGCAAAAATAGGACAAACAGAGATAGAGACCGAGATAGCGTTGACAGACACGGAATCCGAGGGACAGAGGCAGAAGCAGATACATTCTTGGACACAAAGGCAGACACATTTGAGACAAATAGAGGTAAACACAGAACAGTTCAAGGAAAAATAAAGGTAGCCGCCTGTTTTGGGGAACTTTCTATTCTAACACATGCACCTGTCCAAATGGGAGTTTCTCAAAATAGTGGTCCCCTATGCTGGTTTTCCTTTTGGCTTCCCTTCAGGTACCAACCACAGAGGGGGTCCACCACATTGAGAAACGCAAAATCGAAGGAACACGCAAAGCCTCCGGCCGCAACGAGTCCCCAACCGTTCTCCCAGTCGTGGTGCGGCCCGGGCCCGTGCGCGTCCAGCTGGAGTGCGAGGTGCCGCGGGGTGTGGCTCGGCGTTTTTTTTGTTTTTTTGTTTGAGGGTTGTTAAAAAAAAGGTGGTAGGATATGTGTTTTGTTGGCTTCTTGTTTTTGGTTGGTTTTTGGGCGTTTTTGTTTTGGATTCAAAGGGGAAAGTCACTCCCTGAATTCCTGGACTTTAGTCACTTTGGTGTGGACCATGTAGAAGTAAATAAAAAGTGCAGAGCTGTTCATGTAGCAGAAGTGGTTATGGTGCCGCGTTCAGTGCTTTGGCTCAGCGGGGTCATTTTCTGGGGGAACCCGGCAAAATCGATTCACCTTTGTTTGGGTTTTTTAAGGTAAACCAAAAGGAGAGGCACCATTTTTTGGACCTCAAAAAAGATACTCCCATATGTCTTAGCATGGAAACTGACTTGGTTTCAGGCAAGAACCTTACCTTCCGGGACATTCAACGCATTGTCATGCTTCTCATTTGTACACAGCTCTTTGTTCGAAGGGCTTGGTTGAGGCAATGTCTGGTTTTCAAGGTGTTACTTGGTAATTCACTTGGCTTTGTGAAAACTCCAACCTTTCCCTTCGAAGTCTATGGTTTATTCCCTGTGTTATTGTTCATCGAAATAATGCCAGCGCAGCATTGTCTGAAATATTGGACATGTCCAAACAGACGGTTTGTGCGCGTAAACCCGACTCATGGCAAGCTTGCCCAGTCCCCTTGGACTACACTGTTACTCGTATGGAAAAGATACACTTGAGCATAATCTGAAGTCGACATGTGCCTCGATAAGCCTCAAGAAACTCTGCGCAGGTTAAACTGGGATATTGGTTGCCCACTCGCCTGCAAGGGTCTCGACATCAAAGAATGCTCATAGGAATTGGTTTGATCAAAAGCCGACAAGAGAACAAACACGTAGTTTTAGAAGTCCCTTTGGATAAATGTCTTGTTCGACGTCCAAGTTTGAGCCACAAGCTAGGGCGAGCTGGGCAGATTGTGCGGAGCACATGACGATGGAAGGGCCTAGATGATTTCCGGTTCGCAGTTGTTTAGCTGGAAAATCAGGTTGGGATGTTTTGTCGCCAGCACTTGAAACGGGGCCGGAAAGAAGTTTGGATACCTTTGATCATCTGAGACCTTTTGCTTGGGTTGCTATTGCGTTCGGGATGCGGAGCCCATATCGAGCAAATGCTGGGCCCAACTTGAGATGGTCTCAAAGGATATGCAACGCGCATGGCCGGTGTCCTTTCGGTTTTCTTTTGCGAAGGTCTCAAAGACAAACCCATGTCCCATGGTCGACGTTTTGGCGTTGCTGGATGAGACGGCTTTGAAGCCGTCGATGTTGGATGCCTTCAACCTAGCTTGCTGAACCGAAGATCATCTCGATGGGATTGCGGCCTGTTCCCTTGTAGAAGTCCATCCCGGAAACGGACTTTGAACATGACTTGCGGAACAAGTCACATTCTCAAAGGTTTGCAAAGTTAGGCGATGCAAGATGTATTTGTTTGCCCAAAGTAGTTAAGTAGTTGGTTGGGCTCCTCCAAATAGTGTGTGTTTCAAGAAATGAACCCAACCCCTTCATGGGGCCAGTCCCTGGTGGTTTGTTCAAATTCACGTCTGACTTTCGTTCGAAACTACGGTGGGTCGTGATATGGCCTGAGAAGTTCAACCAGCGGGTCGGAACCCCATCTTCCCATGTGTCTTTTTGGGGAGGCTGTGAAATTGAATGGGAACCCCGGACAAAGCCGAATCCCTAGTTGATTAAACCGGGTGCTGTCCCCTTGTGGGAGTCCATCACTTTTGGAAGGAACAACCCCATGAATAGGATGGGTTCAGTAGTCCGGCAACATTGCGGAACCACCTCAAAGGTGGTTGGTGGACGTGGTTTCCCGGGGCCAGACATCGACTCACTCGAAACTGAGGAGACGCTAACCATCGTGGTGACCAGAGGCAGACACACCAAGGCAGGGGACCCCAAATGGGTGTCCTTCTTTCCCTTTGAACCAACCTAAAGGGTACCCTTAAGAAAAACAAACCCAAGAGGTTCCTGATACCAAGGAGCCTTCCCCTCAGAATGAATTTTCCGTTGGTATAGGTTGGAATGCCACTTGGCTTGGGCTTGAGGAAAACCAACAGGCAGCTAACCAATTGGGCGTCCCCAGTTTCTAAACACAAACATGCAAGTTACATAGTTTTATAAAGCCTCCAGTTCAAAGGGAGAATCCTGGAGGTGGGGGAGTTTGCAGTCAAAGATCAGGACTCCCGGAATCCTGAATTTCTGGATGTGGTACTTTATTGCTCGGGAGCCCTTTAAAAGCGACATGGAAGGGGGTACCCTCAAGAAACACACACCCATATGTTTTGCGATTCAGGACGGTACTGGATGTTTGACACGGCGACGCATCGCCTGCTCTCACCCTTCAGCCAATTGTTTGACTTCGAAACAAATCGCGGGCGCGCTGAAAAGACCTGCCGTGGATGACTCCGATGACTTACTACCGTTCACAGCGAGTTGCGATGTAGGTGGAACTGAGCAAGTCTGTTCGAAGCTTTCAAATGGCCATGGCGTGGGATCAAAAGACAATTGGAATAGCCGAACATCGTTTGCGCTGCTGTGCGGCCTCCCCAAGAACTGGTTGAAACTATGCAACGGAGTCAGAAAATGGGTATGGGTCAAAACTAAACCACCAGGCGATCGCAGTTTTTAGACCTTGTTTCAATTTGCCAGAGTTCCAAGTATAGCTGTTTCTGTGTACTCCTGTCTTGTGGTTGCCATATGTTTCATCTGGCTCAAAGCCACAGGTTCCACCTTCCGACTTGAAGGATGTGCGGGGAGCACGCACCTGGCCGTCTCACACTGTTTTGCTGAAACCACCATTCCACTGTGTGCGAATTGCCGAACTGAGCTGCCAAACCTGCAGAGTGGGAATCTTATGAAGCAACGCTTTGGCTTCAATACATGAAGTTGGGCTGCTCCGGGGAAAAAATGCTGTGCCGTCTTCTTAACCACTAATCACCAAAAAGGAGGTTCCTTGGTAGTTCCATTTGCTTAGTCATATTTCTCATTTTCCCCTGTTGGGTTTTAAGAGAATCTATCACTAGCGGAAAGAGTTTTTCATGTTTCCCAGAAGGCTTCAGCAATTGGCAGTTTGGGGGTAGTCGAATCCATCTTGGAATCACATCGGACGCTGATTTCACCTGCCAGGTGCCGAGCAAAGAGGAGACCCCTCCGGAGAGGAAGGGCTCCAATGCATCGGAGGCGCGGAGCCACAAAGCTCGCTGCATTGAGATCTCCTTGCTTTGGCTGGGGATTTAGAGATTGGCTTGTTCTATCCGGTGGACTAATTCGTGATTCCCAAGACCTCTTAGAAAACGTGTGATGCTTATGTCACTTGGGCCCCTCGGACCCGGACTGGTGGGACATGGTTTTGGTCAGCGCCACGCAGTGCCCTTCGGGCTCATTGGGCCCAGATCCAACTCGGACCTTTGGCCATCGAGAGGACACCAAGGGGTTGGGACCGAAGCCCACCCTCCCTCGGAGGTCAAAACTGCTTCCATGAGAGGTGTTGCAGATTCCCCAAGTTCCGGAAGCAGATTGGGCTCCATGTACCCAGAACCAAGTCAGGGCCATGGCAAGCCAAGGTGTGCAACTGAACAAATGTTACACTTCCCTTCTCCAAAACTATTCTACTTTTTTGGATTCAGGGTGGACAAAATATGAATGAAACAGAATCAAAGCATGGAGGGCAGACACCTGAGCTGCCAGGCCAGCAATGCACGGCGTTCATCATCGCCTCTTGGAGTGATTGGCGCGTCATTGGCTTCAGCGTCGAGCCATTTCCAGGCGAGTTCCCTGAAAACCTCGGCTACCCGCGGTACATGGTGCACCGGTTCAGAAGAAACATGTTCCATGCTTCACTCGCGAAGATGCACCAGAAACTTGCGTGTAGGTGAAACAAAAGCACGAAGCGTGCATTGAAGCGCATTACATTTAGTTACACTGCGATGCGTTATGTTCCATTACGTTACATCACTTTAGCAACCTTAGGTGTTGGTGTGCCAAGAATACTCACCCCTAGATTATGTTTGTGAAGCCGTTCCAAGCGGAGTCCCTAGTTTTGACACTCCGCGACATCCCTTCGCGGGGAATCCTAAACTTCGACTGTGAGTGTTTTTTTTTCTGCAGATCAGACTGTGAAGCGTGCGTAGCTTCGAGATTGACTGAGTCACACAACTGTCCAATGGGTTCACTTATGAGTTTTTTTGGAGGTCAGGACTGCATTTTTGAGCAACCAAATTTGTCACTGGCAGGACGTGGGTTAACTGAGCTATACTCTAAGTGCATCCCCGCCAACCAGAACTCCGCGGCCATTTTTGGTTTTGGGCTGGTTTCCCGTTTCGCCAGAATTGGCCATGGCTGCTGCTCGGTTGGATTATCAGAGTTCAACTTTTGAGGAATTATGTTTCCTACTCAACGGCAAACAAGTTCAAGTTTTTGCACAGGTGCATTGAGCCATCCGGCGGGCAAGTACATGGGTTCATAGATTCGGCCCTCAGGATGCGAAATACCCCTGCGACCCCGCGGCGCAGTAGCCGACTCTCGGCGGGAACGGGTCCAGTCAAAACCAGAGCGGATATCACTGTTGATTCTGCATGGTGTGGGTACACCCTATGCAATGCCAGGTATTCATTGTGACTCATGTGTGCTTTCTTATTGAGGAAGGAAAGCAAGTAGAATATCTCAGTTCCGTGACTTGGAGTGTGCTATTCCCTTTCTGATCTTCGGGCAGGTTGGTGCTGGTTTGTTTGCAGTGTGTAGCTGGTAGATTTGCCTAGAGCTGGTTTCTTAGACTTTGGGCCAAGCGCGGATCTACAGCACAAAGGATCCATTTCCAATGGCTGAACCTGAAATGTGTCCAACGAGTACCTCTGTCCTAGCCACCAACGTGAGGATGCGTGGAGCTTCTGTTGGTGAGGGGTGGGGAACATGTGGCCCTTCTCATTTTGGAAAGGGTGGGGTAGATAGGCAGCTCTTTATGTCATGCGGTTGTTGTTTGTTTTTCTTTTCTGCAGGGTTCAAAGTAAGGAGCGCAGGGTGCAGAAACAAAGGGTCAAAGAAAGACACACCCATATGTATTCTGCAACAATCAGCCTGTTGCCTCATTTTGGGCGGCATACTCTGAACTTCACCCTCATCTCATTGTTTGAGGGCGGTTTTGCCGATTCACTTCTGATGTTTGACCATCACTTACGCTTTGGACCTCGAATCGTGCAAAACAATACCTGTGCCCTCAAGGTCGGACAGATCTTGACAGAGTCTTTTGGTCTTTGTTGCCTTATGGCAAGTGGCCACCCGAACTCTCGAAAGATGGGGGGGGCCCTTTAGGAAAGCCAACGTGCGGGTTGATTTGTCAATTGAAAAGGGGCCCCTCCCCCCCGGTACAAGCCCATTGATTGTCACTGATTTTGAGGTAGGTGTGTTTGAATTGCCCTGAAACCAGATTAAGTAATGGCTATAGGAAGCTCATGTTGATAATTATTCAGCCTCTGGGTATTTTGTTGAGGTTGGTTTCAAGGGAGATCAACTGGTTTCATGTTGGGGCCCAAATCCCATTTTGACACATGCCCACGCTGTTTTGAGACAAGCCCATTTCAGATTCTCCTCATTGGCAAGCTGCTTTGGATTGGGATTTGAGCCGTTTCTGGTAGAGGGAGCATGGGAAACCACCGCTGAGCACCTCCAGCCCACCAATCCAAACCACCAGGCAGCTGAGTCGTTTTGAGAGCCATCCTCGAAGCCGGAGGCCGGCTGTCCATGCAGATGAGCGTTCCTGAGGCGAGGGCTGAGAGAGTCGAGGTCTTTGCCTACCCGCGTGGGTGTGTCGTTTTTCGGACCCACAGAATGGCAGTTGTCCTTTCGGTTTTCGTTTTGGGCCGCAAAAAAAGGGGGGGGGGGGGGGTACCCTCTAACGACTCTAGCACATCCACCCTGCAGGAAGCCACCGGTGAGAAGCTGAGCCCTTTCGCTAAGGCCCAAGTAAAACAAACCCGAGAGCAAGCAGTCCAAGATGGGCATGGGTGTCTTCCACTGAACCCGCAAAGTGTTTGCTGGTTTTGGTTTGGCCTTCGTCCACCAAGCGCACCTTCAAAAAAGAGACACTCGAAATCTTTTTTTTGGGAGGCCGTAGGCCCTTCCGAGAGATGCAAGCATTTTTACGTGGGCGTATGTGAATGTGAGTATTTGTTCACATGGTTATGAAAAGGTGCATGTATATATTTGTATACGTGTATATGCATATGTATATACGTATGTGTCCGTCTCATGGTAATTGGTGATTGTCTATCCACTCAAGATTAGTGGTGTGGTCTTCTGCTAGATGTTGGTTTGTCTTAAGATTGGGAAGCCCCAATTGCACAATGTTCATGTGGTTTGCCTTCTTACATGGCCTACCCATATAGAACCATACAAACCTTTCCAGTGGCTGAAGTTGGACACACTTCGCAGGTTGGCCTCTTAGGATTTTGAGGTTCCTAGTGGGAATCGGAACCCTTCTGGTTGGTTTCTTTTTGGTTTCCCTTGAAGCACCAAGCCAAAAAGGGTACATTGCCTTCTACTTGCCAGGAGAGTGTGGGCTCCGAGTCGGGCACACCCAGGACTCGGATAGAACAGTCGCCTTTGAGTCTAGAGCCAAGTATGTGTGGTTCCCGTGTTTCCCTTTGGGTTAGTTACTTTTAGGCCCCATGCTCCCCGTGTTCCCCATGTTCCCCATGTTCCCCTTGTAAACCCACAGTGAGCTTCCTTTTGGTCTGGTCGTTGACCGCTACTCAGGGCGGTTGGATTGCACCACTGTGGGGGCGGGGGCTGAACAGAGAAACACGCTAAAACAATGTAGGGGTCAGATGTCTCCCCAGCTAGTCTCTACCTAAGGACTGCCAGTATTTGTTGTTTTGGTTGAGAATTGATATTAAAGCAACGTTGGGAATTTGCGGCCACCGCGGAAGTTCCTTGCCTCAATTGAGTTCCCTTGTTGAGCTATTGTGTAGCAGGGCCCAGCTGTAGTTCTCCCTTGCCAAATTGTTGGGCGGGCTCTTCGCAAGAACTCTTAGAAAATGAATTTGTAGTTTGAGTTTGTAATTTGTAGGTTGGAAATATTGTATTGAGTACCCTTGTTCTTTTTCGGGACTGACTACTTATGGGAAGACTTTCGGTGACCCATAGTAAGCTTCTTCAAAAGGGGGAACATATTTCAACGCATCCCACAAGCCCATTCTAGCTATCTCGGCCCTTCTGGTAAAGAATTGTGCTTTGGAAATGCTGGAGGGGTGACGGATGTCGCATGCCTATTTCAGTGGCATGTCAACACAAGGGATCCTTTGTGTGTGTGTGTATGCGTGCTGTGTTTGCACTAGATGACCCATTGTTTCGGTGTTCGGTTTTATGCACACAATCCTGCGTTGGAGAATCTTGCGGGCCCCGGCTTGGACACAAAGAAGCGCTGAGCCATCATTGTTTCTTTTTATGTGGCCAAGGCAACCTCGAAGGAGGCAGGGTTCAAAACCAAAAAGGGCTCAAGCATGGTGCTGGTTGTAGTCCTTTAAAGGCACCAGTATCCTAGAAGCTTTGCCCATTTCCCAACGCATCAAAACATTTGGACACAACTTTTTAGAGGAGCTTTCTGCCAAGAGTTCTGTTGTCAAAATTTTGGAAATTTGGCTGGCATCGTGTTAGTTCCCTGTCCACCTCTCTTGTCATAGATGAACCCCTCCCAATCATGTTGTTCATCCCAAAAAACCAACTGTTCCCTCTGTGACCTGCTGGAACAGAGTTTGGGCTTGGAAACTTACCGCTTTCACCCGGGACGTTGGCCTCACATCGCTTAGGAAATTAACACTCCGACAGATACTAACAATCCAAAAAAAGAACTCGACACAATCGGAGGTTAACAAGTGCAGAATGCGTAAAACAAATACTGTTTGGGAGCCAAAAGCGGCCACACATGGAACGGAGAGGGCCGAAATGAGAGTATGTGCTCAGAATGGCCGTTTGGCTCCGAAGCAGTTTGTTTGACCGTTCTGCACTTCCGTGGTGTGCCGGGGTCGATCCGTGGACGCTGTCGCAACGCTGAGATGAAAAAAATGCACCGTTTCCAGGCAAAAAATGTCATTTCGGCCGGGATGGCCTTGCTAGTAGTGTAGTTATTAGTGTTCTGCAGTGCTTTCGTTGCGCGTGTTTCACTTGCAATGGTGTCTTCTTTTGCGCCGACCAACGCCTGGAAGTTCCATTTGTATGGGGTCTCGTTTTCGCCAGGAACGGCCGCCGTATGAGCACGCGTCGGAAGTCCTCCCAGCATTCCCAGCTGCCGCAGCTGCCAACTTTGGAACGCTTGCCGTCAGCCGTGCCAGAAGAGTCAGGACCGAGAGTGTGTGCGCTTAAAATCCCCGTTGAAATCTAGCAAAAGAGCCTGAGTGTGTGCGTGTGTGTGTGTGTGTGCGTGCGTTTGTCGTTGTGTGTTGTGTGCTGTGTTGTGTGTGTGTGTGTGTGTGTGTTTTGTGTGTTGTGTGTGTGTGTGTTGTGTGTTGTGGGCTGTGGGTTGTGGGTTGTGTTGTGCTAACAGTTGGGCCCCAAATGATATGATTTGTTCCCCGCTTTTAATTAGTGTTTTGTGTTTTTTGAATGGAGGGGAGGCCCGTTGTTTGGTTAGCGGGAAGTGAGAAAAAATGAATTCTTTAGGGAGGGGTACTTATTTTAGGAAGTTGTTTCCGGTTTGTTTGTTTTTTTCCGCTTTTGGCTTCTTGGCTTTTCGGATTCTTGTCTTTTAGGCTTCTTGGCTTCTTGTCTTCTTGGCTTCTTGTTGGTTTGCGCGGCTTTTGGTGGCTTTTTGGCTTTGGCTTTTCGCATCATCTGCTTTCCCAGTTCCTCTCCGGTTCATTGGTTTTTGGCTTTGCCTTCCCGCATCCTCAGCGCCACCAGTCCCTCCCAATTTGAATCATCTCGTCTTCGAACATCATGGGGGGGGGACTGCCACCCCCCCAACCCCCCCGCAACTTTTTGGATTGTTTGCAAAGATTTGATTGCACCCCCATTTGAATCATCACTTCTTCAAACATCATGGGCGGGGGCTGCTGCCTCCTCCCCAACCCCCGCTACTTTTTAGATTTAATTGCACCCCTATTTGGTTCATCACTTTTTCGAGCATCCAATTTCGCGAGAAAATGCTGTAAAATACGACATTGTATGTAATCTATAATCTATGTAATCGATGCATGTTTGTATGTATGCACTTCTTCGAAATCATAGGGGAAGCCACCCACGCCAACCCTCCCGCTGCTTTTTATGTTCTATCGCACCCTTTCTTGAATCATTGCACCCCTATTTGAATCATCACTTCTGCAAACGTCATGGGGGGGGGCGGCTTTAGATTTGCTTTGCTGCGAGTGTCCTCCTATTTGAATCATCATTTTTTGGAACCCGTCAACCCCAGCTACTTTTTAGATTTTGTTACCCACGATTTGTTGGTGATGCTAGGGATGTTGGTCGGACATGCGGGGGATGTTGACGGCCAGAGTAAATACGTCAATTTTGCGAGAAAATGCTGTAAAATACAACATTTTACTGGCCCACACGAAATAACGAAAAAGAAACCTAAAATAAAACAAAGAAGAAAATCCGAAAATAAATCCGCACCCATTCTTTAGATTAAATGTGAAGCAGTATCACTTCAGCTGAAAAGTCAGGTCAACCCTTTGCGTGCCGACGCAGGGGGCGGCCTTGCCTCTCACTCCGCGTCCGTGGCACCAGAAGCGGCGGCCATCTCGGTGGCGCCGGATGTGCTGATGCCGGCGCACAAGGCGATGGTGCGGGGCTGGACCCCCGAGGACCGAGGGAAGCGAAGCTCACGTGGCATGCTTGACCTAGGTATGTTGTGGGGCTGTCTTTTGCTCGGGAGTTTTCTCCCAAAAAAGAGCAATTGCGATTTGCCTTTGGATTGTCCTTGAAAACCACAAAAACAAGGCGCCCTCCCAAAAAGCAGATCCTTATCCTTATAACCATGGTGAATAGGGACCAGCCCCACATGGATGTGACCAAGTCTGTTGAGCATAGTGGGGGTGTCGAAACACCGCGTCCCTCTTGTTTCCGTTTGGTGTTTTAAAACAAGCCCGCAAGGAGGGATTTCCTGAAAGACCCAAAAGATTCATACCCCCTCCAAACAGATTCCAGCTTGCATCGCAATTTTGTTCGCATCCCTGAACAGTTTGCCCAATAGGACAGCGACCACTTTGAGCTACGGATTTGGACAACTACGCGTTTGAAGCGAGGCGGCTTGGACACCCTGTGTTGGCCAGGATCAGGATCTAGCAGGAGATTTCAGGTTTGGTCAAAACATGGGACATGGGACTTTGGGGGACATGGGACTTTGGGGGACATGGGACTTTGGGGGACATGGGGGACTTCCTAAATATGTGGTTTCCCACAACAGCCTGGAGATTGTGGGAACCAAACGCTACGTTGCCAGTCCACCAGCACAGGTGATTGAATCGAGACGCAGTCAAAACCTGAATACAGGTGGGGAGCGGTCCCAATTGTACCCTTAACATTCGGCAAGACCTTGTTGAAGCCAGGTGGCTAAGACTAATGCAGAGATGATCTCTACCAAGGAGCAAGTACTACAGGGCAAGGGGCAGTTTCAAGGGCTGTTCAGCGCAAACAGGGATTTGGCAACAGCAAAGTGAGGAACAATTTAGTGTGGTGTAGTGTGGTGCCCATTCTCGGTGTTTGTGTCTTTTAGGTTTTGACACAGAGCAGCATGATTTGGTGTTTCAGAGTAGATGCCGCATGCCCTGCATCCAAAGATACAGGAGACACAGCTTTAGAATTTGAGTTGCTGTCCTGACTGTCCCTGCAATGAAGGACCACAGAATGATTAAATCAAGGCAAAAAGAATGAGTGTCCATGTCAGACTCCGCAGAGCGCTAACAAAATTATGACTGTTTTTTTGTGTTTGATGCTGACATTTGACTTGAAGCCGTTGTTTTACCCTTGAAGAATAATGAGTGTTTGTTTCAGACACTGTGGGGCCAAAGCTGAAATTGGGGTTTGATGCTTGCCTTTCGCTTGCTAATAAAGCGTCTCCAGTGTGCAAAGAGTATTGGGATGTTGAGGCAGATTTGTCCAGATGTTTCATGCAGGAAGCTGAGGAATCAAATGTGTTTGTTTACTTTGCGTTCGATCCGAACGCCAGGTCTTTTTTGAGCCCTTCGCTGGAGAATCTTGCTTTGTTTGAATCATTCAGCCAGTTCAAATCAAATTTGTCGTGTGAAAGATTATTTCGAGTCCGGTTTGGGCCAAATGTCTCTCCACCTGCGTGAGTGACAGCTGACTTTGCGCTTGGTTTTGCGACGTGTTCTGTCCTCGGCATGCACTTCTTGCAGTGAGCATTTGTGGGATTCTGCAAATTTCGCTGGGTGGCTTCAAACCACCAGTATTGCTACATTCTGCGGAGGTCTTAAAGTACCCACGCTGCCACCCCGAAGTTATGGCTTTCTCATGGAAGGGAAAACACGCTCACAGCTATGCATATACGTATCCAAGATCTAATTCTTCCACGGGCGTTGTGTCGCGTTCAATTCCTATGTGCCCCAAGCCAAAGCTCGCTTTTCCCACGCCCGGCATGGAACAAACAGCTGTTTGGATGTCCTTTTAGCTGGGTTCCGTGTTCGGGTTTGCGAGGGGCGCAAGCTTTCGCCGCACACCACCGCCATTCGCTTCACCTTGCTGGTTCGATTTGGGAATGAGAGATGAGTCGTCATTCTATGCACCATCCCCGGTTTCCAAGGGCAGTGTCATTCCCAAAACCTATCGAACCAGCAGGTCAGCCAGTGGCATAGGTCCAGAGTTGATCAAGATGGAGGAGGAGCCACGGGAAGCGCAAGTGGACCCCTACTGGCAAGGCCCGGCTGCAGAGAAACACTATATGTATCTATATAGAGCGAGAGAGAGAGAGAGGTGTGTGTGTGTGTGTGTTTGTTTTTTGCAGGATATCCTAGTTGGGTTGGGTTCAAGAGAAACCAAGAGAAGCCACTCATTTCTTGGTTCCCTCCATCGTGAGACATAACCAGGTTGTTTGGCGAATCGGGAATATTTTGATCAGTGAGGGTCATGAAGATGTGTGTCCAACCCTGGTGATTCACATGCTGTGTGGCAGTTTAGAGTTTAGACACTGTGGATCGATTGTGGCCTGCATGGGCAGGTGTTTCTGGCATGCCGCATGGTCGCTGCTTCGTTGGACCCCTAACAGGAGGAGTGTATTCTAAGGACTGTGGCTTGTATGCGTGCTTGAGTGCTTGTATGTTTTGCTTGATTTGATTTGATTTGATTTGATTTGATTTGATTTTCTATGGATTGATGCGCTTTGCATTGCACTGCTTTGTGTTGCACTGCTTTGTGTTGCACTGGTTTGCTTCGCATCGCTGAGTGCTCGGCTTGGAATTTGCAGTGGTTTGCCTCGTCACCTGCCGTCATGGGCTGTTTGTGAGTTCACCTGAACGAGTGGCTGCTGCCGCAACTATCAAGGTTCCATTGGGGGCAGGGAGGTGAGGGTTTGTGACGGTGGCATTTGTCATGCCTTCATTGAAATCGTTCGACAGATGCCGAGCGAGATTGGCAACTTATAACGTCACTGGGGGGTTGCGGCGTCAGCCAAAGTGAAGGTTCATTCCTTGCAGATCCATTTATTGTTTTCAGTTGGTGCTTGTTGCCAAAACTTGCCCGGGATGGTTTCCGCGAGTGCTTTTTTGTGCAGCAATCAATCGGTCCACGCTTTGTTTTCGACCAGAGGCCTTTTCTTTTTGTGCCGGCCTGCGAGCCGGGCGAGCCAAATGCAGGTCTCCGCACGTCAAGCCACATGTAGTCATGGGGGAGACACTATTAGTCATCATTCTAAGCCCCTTAGAAGAGATGAAGTCTTTGAAACACCGAATGAGCAACGCCCAACACCGATGTTAGGTGGTTCTACTACTTGCTTTGATTGGCAAAATGAATGCCTGTAAAAACGTGTATAGCCATTCTAGATCCAATGGTCATGGGTGTTGGGCTCTGCTGTGAAATATCATCCAAAAGGAAAGCACGGGCAATTGTCCAACGAGACAAGTCGGCGGTCCGAAGGCCCCTCCTTCCGGTTCTGGGCTTCAGATGAGTAGCTGTTTTGTGTTCTGTGTTGTTTTTGTTCTTTTCTGTTTCCCCCCCACGGAGCCTTTTTCAGGTCGGTTAGGGAAACCAAGCACGGTCACCATGAGTCCCTATGGCACGTATGGTATCTAGCGTCAATGTGAGAACCCACTTGTTTGGCTATCCACAGCGATGCTTCTTTTGTGTAGGGGCTATGGTTTTGAGCAGCGGCCTTCTCGATAGGCATCTCTGCCCGAAACGCGCAGCTCGAAGACAGATGCTGACGGTTGCTAGTTTCAGGCTCTCACTTGCCCAAAGCGAGTCGACCTTTTGACCTTTTGGTTTTGCAGTGTTGGTCCATAAGATCCCAAAAGGTGATCACCTTTGTTTTCTGGGTCCCTAAGAGGGCGCCAATCGAGGTCTGGGGAGAATCCCAACCCAAATCTGCAAAAAGGTTTCCCATGAGTTTGTGTCAGAATAGGTAGTGTTGTCCATTTGTTTTCCCGTTGTAAAATGAACGGGGCACCCTCAACAAACGTCAACAAACATGCATACACATGCACATGTCGGTGTTTTGGGGTATTGGGTTTAACTTCGACGTGCGCAGGGCGGGTCAGCACGGTGCGGGAAGCCTTCAATCTCCTTGAGACGGCCCATGAGGCTTGATCTGGGCAGGGCAGACTTGCAAGTCTGCCCCCCATCCATCCCCGCCAAAACGATGTCTATTGAATGGGTGGGTCTTGTTGTTCTGGGTGCCTTGTTTTGGTTGGTTAAACCCAAATATGAGCAAAATCTGAAAGTATGACTTTGTGTGCACAGATGTCCAGGATCCGCTTTTACTGCGTTTGCCCAAAACTTGAAAGTTCGAGATCGCAATGTGGGCAAAATAAGCATGGAACAGTGCGCAAGTTGCGCCATTTCAACATGCGGCATTGTCACAATGTAACTTGGGAGACTGACAGAGGAGATATTGTGAGTGCATTTGTGCATGTGTGGGTGTGGATGTTTTCTGCTTCAGCCGTTCATTCTTTGCAGTTTAGCGACGGTGTATGTAATTGTCAAGTGGGAGGAAAGTTGAAGCATTGCTTGATGACCGCTGCCGATTTGCATGTTCACTCACTCAACTTGCTGAATCGGTGTCTCATCGTGGCTGCGGGTTGGCTTTGACATATTCCCTCTTGCAGAAACCCCCATTACAACAATGGTTGAACACTTAGATTCTGAATGGTGGCTACATGAACCCGCACCATTATTTTTATGGCCGCCGGGGGATCTTGGGGAAAACGTGGGCTCTTTCGAACGCCCACGTCAGGCCAGCCTGTGGACTCAGCGTGCTGACGTCGCTTGGAATGCTCGCTGCTCGGCCGCACATGCCATTTGTCACAACTATCCCCAGTGGATCATGAATTATATTGATTGTAGAATCATACATACATGCGTGCGTACATGCATACATAAATACATACATCATACACACAAGCAAGGATCTGTGTACAGACTAGAAGACCAATGCTTAGCTTTGCTCAAGGAGATGGTGATTTTTGCCACGATTGGTAGTCCCACGCGTTTGGGAGGAAGTGCAAGTTTCGCTACGATTGCAGTGCTTGGATCAAAAATTGGCAACGCCAAGGACATTCATGCCAATTGAAGGAGAATTTGTACTCTCCTTCACTCTTTATGATTTTGTCGCGGACACCGTGGTTGGCTGACGTTGCTTCCGAACATCCAGCTCTCTGGGGTGTTTTTCAGGTTTTGAGCATCCTGTTTGAGGCCACTGGGGTGGGGGCCCGAAATGGCGGACATCAGAATTTTAGGTGGATCAAAGAAGCCCAACAACCCATGTTTTTTGCTGGTTCCCTGGTTCCAACTCTTAACGTCTCATCACCACGTTGAAGCGCGCTTTTTTGTGTGATGTTTCATTGGAAACCAAAGGAGTTTTGGGGTTGCCAAAAGGACGCTAAAGCCTGTTCAGAAATTCCGAGCAGCTGACAATATGATTGGTGGATGTTATGGAGCACAACCCAACTTGTCCATGTCCCCCTGAATATTGTGCGGATTTGTTCTCGGCTCGACGGATGCTCACATCTGAAACTGCGGAGAGGCTCCCCTAATATGGGTGGGAAGCAAAGGAACCCCCAAAAAGCCGGAAATGACAACCACCTCTGCTCATGAGTTGATGAGTTTCCCTAGGGCAGCCAGACGTTTTGTGAGACAAACCCATTTTTTAGACGGGTCTGGTTGGGGCACGGCCGGGCGTTTTTCGAGGTGTGGGGCTGAACAAAGACCTGGACCTCGTGCTGGCAGACCTCCGGAAGCTGCAGCAGATGCAGAAGCCGGAGACGGACTTCTTCAAGTACTGCTCCATGGCAAATGGCCCTTCCTGGGTTTGGTCTGTGGCTGTGGTCACTTCCCATGTACCGTTCAAATCCACCAATTGAGGGTGCCTGACATTACTGAATTGGTGGTTTGGATTGGTGATTTGAGTTTGAAATTGAACCCCAACGTTCACACCCAAAGCACCAGTTGGAGGCTGTCTCTAAACCAATTTGAATCAGGTTCATTTGGTTCAAACCAAAAATATGGAGCTTAGTTGACGTTTTGAAGCATTTAAGAGTTGGAACCACCTCACATTTGCTTGGTGGGCATCAAACTCCCCACCTAAATGATGTCCAAATGAGACTTTACATTTACGCTTAGTTTACATGTCAATCTGCTGGTTTTGAGGTTCACTCACCTGTAGATTAATACATGTGTGTGTGTGTGTGTGGTGTGTGTGGGTGTGTGCGTGCCTGCGTGCCTGCGTGCCTGCGTGCCTGCGTGCCTGCGTGCCTGCGTGCCTGCGTGCCTGCGTGCCTGCGTGCCTGCGTGCCTGCGTGCCTGCGTGCCTGCGTGCGTGCGTGCCTGCCTGCGTGCGGGTGGGTGTGGGTGTGTGGGTGTGTGGGTGTGTGGGTGTGTGGGTGTGTGGGTGTGTGAGTGTGTGGGTGTGTGGGTGTGTGTGTGTGTGGGTGTGTGGGTGTGTGGGTGTGTGGGTGTGTGGGTGTGTGGGTGTGTGGGTGTGTGGGTGTGTGGGTGTGTGGGTGTGTGGGTGTGTGGGTGTGTGGGTGTGTGTGTGTGGGTAAAATGTTAAAATGGGGTTGTCGGGAGCTATTAAGCCCATTCTGTCTCGTCGGGTTTGTGCTCGCCCATTGCACCGTAGCATTCGGGTAACGTGTTTGCTGCTAGAGGCAAGCCGAGTGCATCGTGAACAGAACCCAGTCGAGACTCATCAGTTGTACTCGAGACTCATCAGAGTTTAAGTGTGTAAACCCCATTCATGGGGAATCCGGAGGGGAAAGAGAATGCCAAACTCCTTGGCACACGGTTGACGAGCGTCGCCGTCGCCTGTTTCCTCAGCCATTGGCGCTGTGGTGAGGAGACCTTCGGGGTGATAGAACCTTCCCCCCGTTTTAAGCAACCATGATCAAGGTTCCATCTACTTCAATTACAAGGTTTCCTCCATGTTTGTTGGAAGGTTCCCAAAACAGTAGTTTCAATGGAAACCGCTAGTAGTGACCTGCAACCGTTGAACAATTCCCTTTTCCTCAATGGCAACCTTCTATCAAGGTTTTACCAGTTTGAACTTATGACGCTGAGGCAACAAATACAGCCTGGGAGGCGCCTTGGCTCAACTCTTCGCGCTTGCCATGTGACTTGTTTGTGATGATCGGAAGCAATCGATCGACGATCAACTTGGGAGTGGCCGAATTTGGGGGAGAGCCATCCCTCAAATGCCAAGAGAGGGCGATTTCCGTCGCTGGGGCTTCGCGTAGGCTTCACTCTCCTGGACTGCGTGGGCAAGGAGCTGGGCACGCGCTACTGAGCTTCGGTTAAACCGCCCTCATTGCGAGGCTCACAGAGAGAGGCTTAGTTACCGAAAGCGGCACGTCGTTTTTTGCTTAACAAGTAAACTTGAAGCAACCTGAACGGACGAAAGGATGGAAAATCCTCACAGTTTGATGGGAAGCAACGCATTTGCCTTCGCTGAAGGTGAAGGCGACCGAGTTGGCTGTGTCTTCAGAAGATCTGAAGTAACATTGTACATACTGCCAACCTCACGTTGTCGATGTGATTAGCAACGGGCCCATGATTGACGTATATGGACAAGAAAATAATGTTGAAGATATATCTAAGATTTGAATTGTATGATATACATAATATTTTGAATTGCTGCATATGATATTCAAAAAATAAATGCACATATTTTGAAAAGAAAAATGATAAATATTATAGAATGAAAATAAATATTTAAAAAAGAAATGAAAGATGAGTGGGAATGAATAAATAAAGAATGAATGGTTTGGTTTAAATAATTGATTTAAAATTGGATTAAAATTTGAATAAAATTATATTTGATCTTTATATATATATATATACTAAATTAAAATATATTTTATAAAGTTTAAATTTATTTAATTGATTTTATGATTTTGATATATATATTTAATTTTTGAATTATTTCTGAATTATAAATATATATATATATATTTTTTAGTGTTTATAAATAATAATTAGTATATATTGGGAAAATAAAATTAAATGGAGAAATATAAATATATATATATGTTTTTTAATTTTAGTGTTTATAAATAATAATTAATATATATTGGGAAAATAAAATTAAATGGAGAAATATAAATATATATGTATATTATGGTTTGACGAAAAATTGAAAAGAATTTTGATTTTGGCGTATATTTTAATATGTATTGTATATTGAGATTGGGATATGGATTTTTATTTTAAAAATTATGGATTATTATTAGATAATTTTACGATTGTTAATATAATTATGTTTAAATCGTTTATTTGGTTTTATTTATATATGTTGAATTATATATTTTTTGAAGAGATATTTTTTTAAAAAAAAAAAATGTGTGTTATTTATTTTTTTTTTGGATTGATTTTTTTATTTAATTTTGTTCTTAATGATTATTGGCATATGGATTAGGTATTCGTCGGAAGATATTTTTTGAATCGAATTTTAATTAGTATATTGTGGCTGATGTGATGGGTCGATTTTTATGTAGGTTATAAAGATTAAGAAATTTATGGAAAAAAATGAAGGATATTGTATAAATAATTTTTGGTCGTAATATAGATTGATATTGATATTTTGTTCCTAATGATTAATAGTTTTATATTAATTTTATAATTTCTTTAATATTTTTGTTTTTTTGATTAATATTGTAATATTATGATTTTTGTATGATAGGTATTTTAAAGGACATTATTAAGGCGGACAAGGTATTGTAACAAAAAAGAAAAAAAAACGAAAACCATGACGAGAAATATGGGAAAATAGCATAAAAAAATATTTGAAGGAAAAATCCTAAATGAAAAATGGAATTACCATAGAATTATATTGGAAATATTGTATAAGCCATTTGACAGAGTTAGATAGCAACTGATATGGTGATATGAATTTGGTAAATTCTGATGTTTTGTATTTTGGATTATCATATATAAAAAACATATTAAAGGAAATTTAAATAAATTTCCGAGTTCTGGAAACAAATTGAAAGTTAGATAATATAGGGAAATACAGATATTGTGGCAGGAAAATCGCAAAATTTAAGTATGAAAATAGTATACAAAATCAATATTAACACCTGGGTCTTCAAAATCGCAATTTTATTCGATATGCATATAGAGGGTTCGTCGCCCACATAAAAATTCGCATGGCACCACAACGAGAACGCTCCGACACGCATAATCTCCATAGAGGGTTCGTGTGCCACGAAACAAAAATAAATTATACGGTGCCACATCGAGAACGCTCCAACATATACAACATAGATTTTTCCACGAACTTTGAAATTCGCACAACCCCACAGCAAGAGCGTTCCGACACACACAATCTCCGCAAAGTTCCTCCGCGAGCTTTCACGCCACAGCAAGAACGCCCCGACAGGCGCAATCTCCGCAAAGGATTTGGTCGCGAACTTTGAAATACAAGAACACTCCATATCCGCAGAAGGGTTTGTGGTCCATAAAAAAAAAATCGTACGATGCCACAACAAGAACGCTCCGATACGCACAATCTCCCTAAAGGGTTCCTCCGCAAGCTCTGAAATTCGCACACGATTCCCACAGAGGGTTCATTTCCCCAACCGCCAGACCCACCCCCGACTACAAAAGAAGATTAAATATAAAGGCTGCGAGCTTCAGCTGGGTCAGTATAGCTGCGTAAGCGAGGCTGTAATTCAGGCTGTGGCAGTCAGGCTGCGTCAGTCAAATAGTGATTTTCGAGCACCAGAAACGAAAATCGAGTTCGTATACCACTTTCAAAAATTGCGATTTTCAAGCGTTTCTGCATGAAATTCGTGCGAATCGCTCTTGTTGTGACCCCATGCAGACTTCAAAATTTGTGCTTAAATGTTCTATAGAGATTGCACGTGACGAATCATTCTGGCTCTGACGTCATGGGAATTTTCAAACCTCGCGGAGGAACCCTCTACGGAGATTGCGTGTTGAATCCCTCTTGTTGTGGTCCCGTGCGAACTTCAAAACACGTCGTGAAATGTTCTATGGAGATTGCGCGTGACGAATCATTCTCTCTCTGACGTCATGGGAATTTTCAAAGCTCGCAGACTCGTTCCCGCGTCTGCAGCCTGAAAATCGCTTATAAATATAAAAGTGATATACAAAATATTCTCCCATATGTCCCATCTGAGAATCATAAATGTGTTAAGAAAAGCATGATGCGAACCACGCTCCCGCAGCTCCGGCCTCAGAATCATAAGTTTAACTCCCTCGGCCGCGTCAATTTGTACCAAGCTCATGTGCCTGGGGTTTGTTGGGAGCCGCACTGTGAAAGAAAGCAGGGGCAATCCGCGGTGTGGTTTGGGTTCGGTTCCATGCTCCGCCAGGGCGGCAAGTTGGCTCTGTAAGAATCCATAACGGCTGCGGTGTGGTCCGCGGTATAGTATGCGAAGTACGCTCCCGCAGCTCCGGCCTGAGAATCCCAAGTTTTAAGTAGAAAAATACACTCCCGTATCTCCGGCGTCTGAGAATCGCAAATTTCAAGCAAAAGTAGGAGATCAAGAGAAAGATCACAAAGAAAAAGAAAAAAAGATAAATAAAATAGAGAAGAAAAATAACAAGAAAAAAAGAAAGAAAGACAGAAAAAGAAAGAAAGAGAAAGAGAAATGCAATTATTTCTTTATCGGGAGTGTATTTAGTTTTCTATTTAAAATGTGGGATTCTTAGGCCGGAGTTGCGGATGCGAATTTGCTGGAATATCAAATGCTTCGCCCATCAAAAACCACCCTCCAGAATCAAACACGTAACCACACGTTTGTAAGAAACACTAGAGGTTGAGGGTGCTGGGTGTGGGTGTGTGGGTGTGTGGGTGTGTGGGTGTGTGGGTGTGTGGGTGTGTGGGTGTGTGGGTGTGTGGGTGTGTGGGTGTGTGGGTGTGTGGGTGTCTGCGTGTGTGGGTGTGTGGGGTGTCCATCCAACACCGATCTCCTCGATTTTTCAGAGCCGCATGTTGCACCGACCCCCGAGCTGGCATCCGCACCAGCGGAACCCAAGTGCAAGGCAAAACCAGCCAGTTTGCTCCCCGAGCATGCACCTGAAGGGAAGGACGCCGAGCCGGTGGAGCCTGTTCCAGAGGACAACAGCATGCCAGAGCCCCCGCATGTCAGGGCACTGTGCAGCTCACGGAAGAGGCAGCTTGCCAGACAAGAGCTGCCTGAGCACCCCTGGCATGACCGCATAGAGGGCACCCCGGATGCTTTGCGTCGCAACCGGATGGCCCCAGAACCAAAGCATGCTGCGGAACCGGAGCCAGGGCCCGCACCATTCGTGTACAAGGCACCGCCAACGGGGGCAAATCCCCTGCATGCCGCATAATTGGCCACCGCAAGAAGGAGACCCTCGCGGGGTCCTATTGGGCAAACTACTGGCACCTTGGCGGCCCGACGCTACCCGCTGGCATCCATGTACGCATGCCTACAGCTGCAGCATCGACCCGGCATACTCCGCCAACCAACGCATTGCGGCATACAGCACACATCACCCCGGAAACCCGGGTGCGGGATCCTGCCCGACGCCACGCATACGCATCCCCTCGGTGCGTCTGCCCCGCACCATGCGTCGCACGGAGATGCAGGGCCGCGGACTGCCCATGCTGTATCTCGATGACAACAACCGCATCAGCTGCTGCCTGCCGTGCGCAAATTCTGCATGCCTATAATGCAGTCTGCGGTCAGTACGTGGTCGCATGACAGGCATCGCTGCAGCGGTTGCCGCGGACTCCCGCGATCTCAACCACTGATGCACCGCACGCATTCAATCGCATTCTGCATCGGCCCAGAAAGCATGGCATGCATGCATGCTGCAGGACTCCCTGCCAGGGCTTGTACAGGCATTCACTTTGCAGCTCAATAGCAAGCGGGAAAAAAGTGGCCTTCATCGGGCAAGTTAGGTCATGCCTCCAGCAAGGCCTCTCAAACCAGGGTCGCATGCTTCCGACTCTCCAGATACGCACAGACCGACTTCCAAGTCCGCATCCAGGCATGCAAGACGCACGCAGGCACCTACACTCAGCAGGCATTGAGGTGACATTTGCATGCCATGCAATGGCATCCCTGCCGATGTGCCATTGTAGCCGGAATTGTGTTGCCAGGATACATACCAGGTTGTTCCAATCCATAACCTCCAAGACCTGGTTGTCATTGTGTTCACGTTGGCGTGCTTTACGATCTTGACGGGAAGGACTCCGATCACGTCTGGGCCAAGTCCTGGATCTGTCACGATCATCATAGTGCAAGTCAATGCAGGCACAAGTCAAAAGCTATCAGCAGCAATGGTGAGACGTCTCCATGATCTGACGGCTGTCGTCCTTTAAGTCAAACCTTGTTCCTCCAAACAAATTGAAAGCTAGATGATACAAAGAAATACAGATGTTGTGGCAATCGACGAAAATAATATGCAAAATCAATATCATCACAACATGTATATAGAGGGTTCGTCGCCCACATAAAAATTTGCATGGCGCCACAACGAGAACGCTCCGGCATGCATAATGTCCACAGAGGCGTGCCACGAAACTATATTATACGGTGCCACATCGAGAACGCAGCAATATGCAAAAAATCGCACGATGCCACAACAAGAACGCTCCCATACGATTAAATATAAAGGCTGCGAGCTTCGGCTGGGTCAGCACAGCTGCGATCTACGCTGCATAAGTCAGGTTGCTGAAAGTCGTGCGAATCGCTCTTGTTATGCCCTCGTGCGAACTTCAATACTTGTGTTTAAATGTTCTATGGGTATTCGGATCGCCCTCTGTGGTTTCGCACAATTTAAATACAAAAGCAATATGCGAACCTCTCTCGGCCTGAGAATGTACAAAGATCACGGGGAAACCATCTACGGAGATTGTGTGTTCGGAGCGCTCTTGCTGGCAATAAATAGATAGAAAGAAAAACACAAAAAGAAATAGAAATGGCAATATGAGATATATTGAGAACAAAACACAAGCCGGGAACAATTTGCACAGACCAATGCATACGCAAAACGCTTGCGTGGAGCACTTGTGCAAAAGTATTTTGCTCAGCACTTGCGCGCAGCAACTTGCTGAGAGCACTGGCGCAAAGGAACTTGCACGGAGCATGCGCAAAGCGATGGCACGGGCAGAGCAACTCACAGACCAATTGGCACAACACAGCGCTTGCTTGCACGGAGCAACTGGCGCAGCATTCCCCCCGAAGCTCCGGCCAAAGAATTTCAAATTTTAAATAGAAAAACATGCAAAAAACGTTCCCGCTTTCTGTTTTATTTTTCTTTCTTTCTTTCTCTTTCTTAATTTTCTCTTGATCTGAGATGCGGGAGTGTATTTTTCTATTTGCGTGGTCCAGGCTGGCGTGTTTCCGGGCTGCTGCATGCTCTATGCAAGTTGTTGTGCTGTGAGCAAATGGTCTGCGCGAGTTGCTCCGCGCAAGCGCTTTGCGCATGAGCGTGCAAGTTGGTCTCTGCAAGCTTTCTCTCGATATATCTCCATCCATGTTTCAATTTCCATGCTATTCATCCGAACAACACAATCTCCGCAGAGGGTTTCTGCGTGGCGACCGCGAATCATTCTCGCTCTGACACCATGGGAATTTCAAAAAACTCACAGAGACAAGTTACATAGAGCTAAGTCACACAGAGTTGCAGAGCCAAGTTACAGCCAAGATGCACAGAGCCAGCCAAGTTGCACAGAGCCAAGTTACATAAAGACAAATTGCATAGAACCTACATAGTTACAAGCAGCCAAGTTACATAGAACCATTTGACAAGGGTAGCACACATTATATAGCAGAAAATTTCCGTTGATGTCAACAACCAGATGGGGAGAAGGAAGATTCTTTCCTTAGAAGCGACCGGCGAAGGCGCCTAAAGTCATCCGGTTTTAAAGAGGTATTTCGCGATAACGGAATGAATACGACCAAAAACAGAAGCTTTGATGTGATTTGTTTTTTGTTTTTTGTGTGCACGGGAAGAGGATTTTGGGTATGTTCCAGAATAGGAGTTGAGGTGGAGTTTTTGGTTTTGGTTTTTGATGCACTGCCCAACCTGGTGCTTGAACGTACCTGAGGATCTGATTGTTTGGCATGGAACGTTACGCTTTGGCATGACAACTTAGATTTGGGTGTGTTCGTCCTTTTTTTCATTTGACCCACATTATCGTCATATTTTTTCGCAGAAATCATCAGAAAAAACCTTAGCATACAGGGATGGGGCGCATATCATCTTGGGGAATTGGAATGTCAATAAAGCCGGCAAAACCATATAATTATATTTGTTTTCCTTTCTTCACTCTTTTCTTCTTCATTCTTCCTTTCTTTCCTTCCTTTTGCTTTTTTCATTTGCTTATCTATCTTTTGTTCTCAAGCTGTCCACACCTAAGTGTCTCGTATCATCTATCTATCTATTTATCTATCTATATTTTTCTTCATCTATTCCCATCTCTATTCCTTTTTCGTTCTATCGAAATACCTCTCTGTGCCTTCTCTATCTGTCTATCTGTTTATTCATTCATTTTCCACATATCCATCTATCTATCTATATATCTATCTGTTTCTATCTATCTTTATCTATATATGCCTTTGTCTACCTATGTATGTATTTCTTTTTCTATTTTTCTATCTTTTTATCTATCTATCTTTCTATTTCTCAATTTCGTTATTTGTTTGTTTTCCGATCTTTATTTATAAATATTTTTCCTATCTTTCGTTATTTGTTTTTCTTTTTCTCGATCAATTTATGTATCTATGTTTCCCCCGATAGCTGAAAGCTATAGGGGTTCTAACTTCTAATAAAGAGTGGAAAATGATTTGCGAGATTGAGGGCCGGGTGCTAGGAGGCATGCAGTTTGAGGTGCTGGTGGATGCTGCTTTCCAAGCTTGACGGCCGGGTGTTAGGGGGCATGCAATTTGGGGGTGCTGGTGGATGCTGCTTTGCGAGCTTGACGGCCGAGTGCTAAGGGGCATGCAGTTTGGGGTGCTGGTGGATGCTGCTTTGCGAACTTGACGGCGGGTGCTAAGGGGCATGCAATTTGGGGTGCTGGTGGATGCTGCTTTGCGAGCTTGACGGCCGGGTGCTAGGGGGCATGCAGTGGTGGAGGGGCACGCAGTTTGGGGTGCTGGTGGATGCTGTTCGCGCGCGAACGGTTCGTGGCTGGTATATCGTCATAATGTTCCCAACCTCGTCATGATACAACTGCGGTCACTGCGATGTTACGTTATGGTTTATGGCTGATGATGCTGTCAATATCAGGATAATGCTAATACGCTGTCGCAAGATGATTCATGACTATATCATCATGATACTGCCTCTACCATCAGCATAATACCGTTTGCATCACCATCATGCTGTCCGCATCATTGTGCTACTGGCCATATCATCATGATGCTATCAAACTCATCAGAGCTGTATCAGCATAATACTCTCAATATCATCATTAGCTGCTAAACTCATTAAGACGTTACATATGCGTTTGTAACGCACCATGCTCAGTGGCTATGATATCATGATGGTACTGTCTATATCATCATAATAATGCTGCATCATGGTTCGTAACCATGGTGTACTATCTAAAATCTATACTAGTGTATTTTTTTTTTTTTCCCCCCTCTATCTAATTTCTATCTATCTTTTTTTGTTTATCATCTTAATTTCATATATCATTTTTATATAAAAAACTATAAATAAATCAAAAATAATTTAATTTCAATTATTCAAATAAATAACATATATAAAATAAATACATACCTCACTTTAAAATAATTTCCACCCATTTTTAAATTTCAATATAAAAATTATATCCATCATTATAACCAAAACATTTAATCTATGCAAATTGCTCTACGCTTATTACTCTGTACAATTGTTTTATATATATTCCATATAAATTACTCTATAATAAAAAACTACAAATTACACATACAAATCCGGCATAAGAATTTATCAATCCTCAACTTCCCATCATTAGAAACACAACACCCACAAATCCATAAAATCAACATTTCAAAATAATAAATTCAACAACTACCAATCTTCCATATATTTCCTAAAATAAATCTTTATATAATCATTCATTACATCTTAAAACTTAATATTTCAATCAACTTCTATTATTTCATTTATTTTCAATTCCTAAATAAATTAATCAAATACGTATTTTTTCGATTACCCCAAAAACAAAATCTACAAATATATATATTTTAAATCTTTTAACCATACAAAACATAATTTTCCTCAAACAAATCCATCATCCAATTTTAATAAACACAATATTACTATATTTTATACAAATAATAAGATAAATGATTTTTAATATTTTTCATTAATATACATATATATTACAAAATAAAATATTCAAATATATCTGCCTTTTCGAAAGAGAAGATCCAACAATTCCCGATAAGCTGTGCCTGTTAAAAGATCGTCATGCCTCAATCTCCATTTTACTCCCGAGAGCGAAACAAACTGCTATCTAATTCACACGAGCGCACTTACTTACACACCCGTACGAGCGTACTTGCACGAACAAACACGAGCACACTTGCATTGTACGAGCGAGCCGGCATGAATGCACATGCCCGAATGCCCTTGTACGAGTATACGAGAGATTGAAGGATTTGCTACTTTTGAATTTGCCCTGCGACCTTCTGCAGATCGGAATTCTTTTTGCGGGTCGCATGGCCCTCTGCGGGGAGGGATCGACGTCGATGTGAAAATCAGCATTTGCTCTGCGGGTCTTTGATGGACTCAGATCGTGCATGAAACCAAAGACCAGCATTTGGCATCATACGCCGCGCTTGCTACATGTTATTAACATGCTTTCGGGCCACCTGTTCTTCGAATTTTCTTTCCAAATGCATTCTTGCATCACATCTTGCAATGCAGGCCTTGGCAAACATTAGCGATCAATCAGCCCTCGCACTGCGGTGCCACAGATTTGTCAACAACTCACTCACAAATGGCAAAGTGCCCATCCGAACAAACACCTCGACATGAAAACATAGCGGTCGAAAAACCAGACGACTTCCGATCCCATCGCTAGGGCGGCGGCTTCATTCGCGCCTGCAGATCTTGCCAATCCACGGGGCCCGCCTGGATGTGGCCATAGCGATGTCGCTTGGGTTGTGCTTCAGTGTTGTGGCGAACCACCGGTTTGTCCAAACCAAAAACAGTAAAGCATTGTGGTTGGTTGGGGTTGCAACCCAGTCTTCCAGGCCCTCAGTACGCTGGCAAGAAAGCGAACCCCGCCAAAAACCCACCACTCCTCCAAAGTCAGAAAGCAGTGTAATTCCGTGTGCACGTTCGAGATGGCAAGGACCAATATGTTCGAGCTAGTTCCATGCGATTGCCTTTGGTGGCTGTTACAACAACATGAAACAACAACCGCCTTCCCGTAACACACTGTAATTTGATGTGCAAATGAGTCAAACCTAGAACCAGAAATAGATGAATTCGTTTGGAGGCTCCAGCTGTTCAAGTAGGCCGTGCAAAAACAGCCAAGCGCCTCAGCTTGAGTTCACAGGCTCCTCGAAACCACTGCGCAAGGTCATAGGTGTCTTTTCTTAAAAAAAACCAAAAACTGCTCAAAATGGTGATGTTCCTTTGGCTCTGCTCTAGCCGTCCCCGTCGATCCACGCTCCGCGCTCCACGCCTGGCTCTCGTGGCAGAGTCGGTTCACCTGCGCCCATGAAACTGCGGGAATTTCCTCCAAAACTGCCCGACTTTGAGCCTCAAGGTGTGGGGAAAACGCAACTCGTCGGGCCTCGGCTGCCCACCGCCGCATTGCTGCGAACTGCTGGGATGCCACGGCCGCGCCTTTGGCCACCGGCCTAAGTTCCTAATTCTTGACATGGGTGATTCTTTTTCCAGGATCTCCGAAAGTGGTGGTTTTCCTTTAGGTTTAAAAAAGAGGGCACCCGCAAACCCATGGAGCTGGCATTTCATTCATCACAAGGCAAGAGCCATTGTTTGTTGCCTGGAAGTCAAGCGTCAGTCATTTGACGGGTGTAAATTCGATGATTCCCAATCTTCGGCGCACTCCTTGAAGCAGATCTTGATGTGATCGTCATCCAACACATTTTGGCGCTTAATATTTCAGCCAACTTGAGCGTTTCACTTGCTCTCAGTTCCTGAGTGGATTGGTCAAAAACCTGACTTTTCGTTTACCCCAAAAGCAAAGTCTGCAAACAATCTTGCAGCATTTGCAGGGAACTTGAGCAATTTTCCGTGTTTCTTCGCCACACCCGCTCCGTTGAAGCAACATGGAAACGCCTCAGATGGGAACTCAGTGGTCTTGAGAGCCCCCACCCGTCAAATGACTGACAGCTTGACTTCCAGGCCACAAACAATGGCTATTGCCTTGTGATGGAACCAGGCTTTGACAACTTGAGTGTGGTTTGCTTCTCGCCTTGGACAAGTCCTCAAAGAAAATATCACTCCAGATCCGGGCTATAGGAGATCGTGTGCAATCACAGGTCAACGGTCAACCCTTCATTCTAGACAGAGTACATGGGTGTGTGTGTGTGTGTGTGTGTTTTTGGGTTCTCTTTTTGGTTGGTTTTGAAGGGAAACCAATTCCTTGGACATGCGAAGCTTGCTTGGCAGCCCAAACTCTTAGCCCTCAAAGATTTGGTATCAACCTTTATGGACCCCCCAATTGAACAGCGCACCAACAAGGAAAACCGAGCGTTTGGGGTCCATATTGGCCAACAAGGGATCTCAGTGCCTCCCTCTAATTTCCTCCCGGAAAAGGCTATCATAGAAAACCCTACTGCTGGAAGCACTGGCTATGGTTTCTGTAAAAATCAACGGTCATTGCCTGATCTGCGACAGCCGAGGTCGGCGCCAGGTTTTTGGTCTACAAACGAGAAGCCAATCCTCCAAATCCATTCCGAACTCCTCCAGGACGTGCACCTCCACATGGTACCTGACTTTGAGCGAATCGAGGCTGGCAGGGAAATTGCTTTGGTCTGTGTCTAGCGATCGAGCAAGTGTGTTGCGGGACAGATTGGCGAAGAAGGCGGATTGCATCTTGTGGCTCATTGGTGGGTGTGACTTTCTGAGGGTAAGCAGGAAAAACGCATCTTACTGCGACTGAGCACAGGGTTGACGAGGCAGAAGACAGGTTGACTCCAGTGCGCGTTTGTCCACTTTGGCTGACAAAATCCGTGCGCCGTCTGGGGCTCGAACAAGACTGGTCAAAGTAAATCCTATTGAACTGCATGACTGACAAGCCAGCACACGACAAACATACGCAGAAACAATCCGGACAACACACAGACACCAACCAAATGATCAATGCCTTCCCAAAAATCCGACGATCAAGGGCCTCGTGGGTTTGGCACGAAGAGACGTGCCTGAGAGGGGCACCTGTCTTGCACATCGACCAGGAAGAGTGGAGCACCCTGTGCGAGCGAGGGAAGAACCCAGTGAGTAGGTTGCTCTAATCTAAACCTCCCTGAGCACAAGTTTAACCTTTTGCAGGTTAAATGATTAACAGAAAAAAACAAAAAAAAAACATTTGCTTCCAAGCGGTCTAAGGGGTCAAGCTAACAGCAAAGTCCAGCTTGTGGCAACTGGGAGAAATATGACTTGATTGGGATAAAACCAGGGGTTGGGTTTTGGTTTCCTTTGAACACATTCACAAATACAAATGCGCTCAGCAGTCGGAAGAAAAGCAGCGTCGGGTCATTTTTGCATGGCCAACTTCACAACAGCTCCAGCGGTGGCCGCCCTAAACTCCATCGAAGACCCCAATCCCATGCACATTTCTGAAAACAGGAATAGATCCACTCAAATGCTTGGCTTCCTTTTGGTCTCCCTTGAAATTCCACCCTTGGCTTCCCAACCAAAAGGGTTGGGCTCTTCAACCACACCCCATGCCCATGCCCGGCCCACCCCTTGGGCCCAGCCCCTTGGCGCCGGGCCGGGTGCAGCACATTGTCCGCCACCACGCGGGCCTTGCTGGAGAGCAAGGGCTCAGCCTTCGCCAGGTCCTGGTTGGCCACGGCAACATTTTCGTTGGGGCTCAGGGGATCTTCCAGGTAGTCTCGGAGCTATGGAGGTTATATACCATAGGGGGTGTACACTGCACAGGCTGAAATTGGTGGTGTACAAGCTACCGCCAAAACCCATACCTGAAAATGCCCTTGATCTTTGGGGAAGCAAAACAAGGGAAACCAAAGTGACAACCCCCGCTTTCTCTCGGCCAGAAAGGGTACACTGCTTCAAATTTATAGTTTTGGAGGAGACCCCTTTCCCCTAGTTCGACTACGCGGGCCGGGGGCAGTATGTTCCATGTGGCATGGTCAGCACAGGTATCCTTGCAATGGTTGTCAGAATTTCTATTGAGGGGTCCATGAGCACCCCTACTGACCCCAAGTTGTTGGAATTAGAGACCTTGGTGGATTGGGCGGCATGAGTGTTTCCAATCGGTCCTAAGCAGGAGATTGGACCTTCAAACTTGCTTGGGTTCGGTTTGGTTCCCGGCGAAGCATCTTGCAAAAATAGGATGTCCAATTTTCGCACAGACCCAAGTTCTTCAACTCGGTTGCTCAAGAGGACATGGGAAGATTGAATGGCCCCCTCGCTTTGTTTTGGGGAACGTACGACAATTTTAAGGCACATCAAACCGATTCGCCTTTTTTGGTGGGGAATGCAGGGACCCTCATAGAGGATTTCTGCACTTTTAGAGCGTTCCTCTTGTACCGTCGTTGCTGTCAACGGACCCTGCTTCATCGCTCAATCCCTCTTTCATTCAGGCTTCGGGCTCCAGGTTGGTTTCGGGGTTGCCTGTTTGGCTTTGAGGCGTAACTAACCATTCTGGAAAGCAATCATAGTTTACCCTTCCAGGCAAAGTTTGGCTCGCAGGGTCGTGCTGCGCTGCAACCGGCGCATTTGTGGCCCTCCTGGTTAAACCTTTCACGCTATGATGGAAGGATGAATTAAACTCATGACCGCCGAGCGAACACTCATTAAATCTCAATGGCATTGCAAGACAAAGTAGCATGGCGGTCAAGAAGTTGCCGCACAAGCAAGTGGATCGAGTTCACGACAGGAATCCACAGGCAAATCATACACAGGTTTGACCAGGAATCACGGCCGACGGAAGCCTTGCTTGATCTTGAAGAGAACTCCACCCCAAATAGGAGGGAACCCCAGCCGAACTCAGAGGAGTTGCATCAAGCACTCGCTACTTTTCGGGGGGCCTGTTAGAAAAGCGCAAACATTCATAGGGAAAAGCATGATGCTTCTGCGAACTGCGCCTATGAATAAGCAGGTTCACATACTTCCCAGAAACTCTGGGTGCTATCTCATTGCCCATGGATTTCTGAAAGACTGCGGATTTTGAAACTAGCCTGGAATCTCACGAGGCAAGGGATGTTGACTCACTGCGGATCCTCGTGGTACACGGTGCCCCGATGGTCCAGAATCAGCACGTCGATGTCCGACAGGCGGCCTCTCCCATTTTGCAACTTGGGAAACATCTCACAAAGCATCTCGGGCCTGATTTTTGGTTCTTTTTGTTTGGTGGCGTGCCCCACCACCATTGTCAACCCACCAACAAAATGTGGTACTTCTTCTACAAGGGCTACAATACCCTAATTAAGCATCATGGGATCCTCCATTGGTTTTGGACCTGAAGGCTGCCAAGCAAAACAAATCCGTTGTCTGGACAAAATAAACATCTCATGACCTGCAATTGACCACCACTTCTTCTACCCCCGCCCTCCCTCCCTTTTAAGGGGGCGTCCACACCAGATGGGCAAATATTTGCCCAAGGTCCTGGCCCATGCATCCTGCGGAAAGCAGAAAGGCAGAGAGGCTGCGTGCGCCCTTTCTTTGGGCCAATCCATCCCTTTGCTAGCTTTCATGATTCAAACACACACTTCCAGCTTGCATTACACAAGAAATCAGTGAATGGGATGACATGGGGCACGAACTCACCAGGAAACAGGGTTTTCTCACATTCCAAGGGGTGGAACATTGCGGGCTTTTATCTGTGGTAAATTCGCGATTGGCAATCCCCTTCTGTGAAAAACAGACTCACGGGAAAAAAGGGGAAACAGGAGGTTTACCAGCAACGACGATTAGGTAGGGTTACAAGCAAGGTTTCACAAGTCCAAGATCGGAATTCCCTAGAAAGGATAGTCAGTCATCTACGCTCCTTCGACCTGACATGCCTGACCTGCCCGCCTTCCCCCGGCCAAAACAAGACACAACCACTGAAGAACAGAAAAAAAGAAAAAACACCACACCATCAGTGAGTCCTTTTTGGGAACTGCGGCTTAGTTCAGGCAACCCACCCTCTCCCTTCCCAAGCCGCAGCCCCCTGGACGCGGACTTTTGCCTGAGCTCAGCCAGTCGGCAGCTCTGCCCACACCTCCGCTTCGGGGCTCAACCCAAAGCCTATTTGGTTTGACAACCCACATGTAGCTGGGCAAAACCTGCATGGGTTCGTCTTGCCGAGTCGGTTGATAAACATTGCCCACGCTGAAAGACATGCTTGAAACGGTCAGGTTCCATTCAGCGCCATTTGAGCATGTCTTTTTGAAGGGACTTCCTTTTGGTTTACCTTTTAAAACCACAAAATGGGAACTCCCAAAACAAAACAGAGCCATTTGGACCACGAAGATAGTCAACAGGTACACTCTGGTTCCTCAAGGAAAGGGCCTTGGCACTTGAAGGCTGGTACTGAATTGGAAGCCCGCTTCAACAAACCCAGTGGAAACGCTTCCGGAAGAAACTGGACACAGGATGGCTTGTGAGGGCCAACATGATAAATGACCCACATGTTTCAAGCGAAAGTCAAAGGGAACCAAACATTTGGCGAGCCTTTGTGGGAAACTTGGGGCCCACATCCTCCCTGAGTTCTGGTCTGTGACGTGTTCAGGGAGCCCTCTCTGACGTGGTATCCGTTGAACACCCCTCCTCGCTTTGCCTAGATGCGACTGTGTCCTTTACTCTTATGGTGAAGATATCAACGGAACCTTGAGAAGGGTCCTTCACTTTAAAAGATGCCCATTTAGAAACGCCGGACCTCTTTTTTTCTCCAAGTGGAATTTCAACTTTTTTGGCACTCAGCGCTATTCGAGCTTCATGAGATTCACTTCAACATGCAGCGAACAAATTTCAGTTGTTTGGTTGCGGGATCTTCTTCTGACCCGCATTGGGCAAAACAAGGGAACCCGCGGTTTTTCTGCAAACCCTAGTTGGGACCTGTGTGTCAGCCGAGACATCTGCCGCAAGCAGCGTGCTAACACCGACGTACTTCCCTGCAAACAACACCAAAGCCAATCAATTGGATTCTTTCATGGGGATCAATTCTAGTTTCGGGAGGAGCAGGGCTCACATGGGCTCAGCATCACAATTGTGATGGCCAATGCAGGTTGCGCTGATGAATAGGGCCGCAAGCATGACATTCAATTCCAATAGACTCAGAAGCACAGAGGTTTTTGCTGAGAATACGTTTTGAGGGGGCGCTCTTGGTTTGAAGGGAAGCCAACAGGCAAACCACCATTGGACGATTTGTGGCACATACCCACCTTCATACATCAACGCTTGCGCTTAGGCAGCGACGGACATCCACCCGGTCTCGAGCACCGGCAAGGTCGACAACTCTCTGCGCGACCTAATCAGACGGTGGGTGGGGTGGGTGGGGTGGGAAAGAATCGCTGGCCTGGTCCAAATTGTTTTGGAGAGCAGGAGGATAGGTTTGTCGACCCTTTCTGGCATCCGTTTTAAAGGGCAGCCGCTGGGGGCCAAACGAATGGCCGCACTTTTGACCCCCACAAGTGAGTGAATATGTTGCTTGGCCCCATGGCAACATGCCCCCCGTGCATGCAACCCAAGAAGTGTGGGTCGTTCTTGCGAGGCAAAATGGTGTCAACACATTTTGGCTTCCTGGTCAAGACGCCTATGGCAACTTGTTCCCCAGACTATATTTTGCAAGGAGTCTCCTTTTTGAAGGACCCCCCCCCTTTTGGTCCTTCCGTCAATGTGTGGGAGTCCATCACCAGAAATGCCTGCTAAGGGCACGGCAGCCGCATTGAGCGGATCTGCTTCAAGCGTCACAACCTGCCAAGAAACGGGTGGCATTCCTCCAAACGTTGCAGCGTTTCTGGGTGTTTCATAGGTCCGGATAAACTAAACAATCACCCATCCGCGTTTGGTGTCCCGCTCAAACAATTAAAGACTATGGGCTCTTCCGTACTAAGGTATGCTGCAAGAACTCATTTTAGGGAGCGGCGTTTTTGGGAGTACCTGGCGCATTGAGAGATATGTAGACACCATGTGACAGCTCTCTTTTCGGGAAAATCTTTCACAGGGCCAGAAAATCGCAGTCTTTGATCCTTTCCAAGGAGAAGCATAAGGATTCCGAATGGACACGTGAGGCTTGGCACATGGCCCGACTAATGAGGAGGTTTCGCGGCTTGCAGCCAATATACTCGGCTGCAGAACAAAGCAGGTACACACACACACACCACTCTTGACTGACTTTCTGCTGGCCCTCAATTCTCAGGCAGCAATGGAAATACGAAGCAGGAGATCCAAGGTGTACTGCTTTAGGGTGATTGATTCCCGTTTGGGTTTCCATGCCTTGATGTAGAGCCAAAATGCATGAGTCCCGATTTCCTTTCACTTGCTAATTTTCCTTTTAAAACTAGCATTGACACGGAACAAACATTAATCAAGCACAAATGTCACGATCACCAAACGGAAGATGATTGAGCAAGTCAGTGGAGTGGTACCCGGCCATTCCTGTACACAGCCTGGAGGGGCCAACACAAACTCTGGCTGAATTAAACATGCTGCGTCTCAGCTTCTTGCGGAAAAAACTTATTGGGTTCAAAAACGATGGTTGATTACTGATGTCCCATTTAAGAAGGATATCTCACCCACCCAGACTGGACGTCACTCGGCGACGGCGAGGTTGCCAATGCCCATGTCTCTCACCCCGAATGGCTTGCATGGTGCTTGTAAACAGTCGCGGGGCTGTGCTCCGCAACGTTTTCCCCACACTTCAAGCCATCCCAAAATGGTTTCCCCACTGTCCACCAGCTGCGTCCAGATGTACCCTAAAGGAAGTCTTTGAGAGGCAACCCTCATGGCCAATTCTGCCAACGGCCCCCCGGCCCCCCCCCCCCCTCCCCGACTTTGCCTTGCAGCCTTGCTGCGCCAGGCGAAGCGAAGTGTAGCCCACCTCGGTGCAAAGCAAAGCCTTTGGCCCAGAGACAAAGGTCTCCAGTCACGGAATAGACTGGCTTAATGGAAACATCCCGTTCCCTTGGCCAGACTTCGACCCGGCAATCAGCTTTTCGGTTTCTGAAACAGAACCGTTAAGGTAAGGTGAGTTCCTCCCCTCTTTCTTTTTAGACGGAGCCCACCCATAGAGGAAACTCGTGGGGCCCGGACCCCCAAAACATTGGGCTGTGGGTCAAAAACAGGTAGCCAAAATGGAACTCTGGAAAATGGAAGCGTGGACTAAGACCTGCGGTCCTTTGGTGGCTTAATTTTGACCCATACCCATTTTAGTTTCCCTCTGAGACGGTCGGGGCTGAGAGAACGTCTTGGGCCACGGCATAGGTCCCGATCTCGAGGACTCGATCGCCTTCCTGAACCGTCACCTGGCACCGTCCCGTCGACTGCGTCAAGCTTGTCCAAGGCAAAATTGGTCGATCCGTCGATCACCTTCTGCAGGGAAAAACGGAAAAGCCGTCCTGTTTCAAAAGAAGCCGGCCAGGATTTGCGGATGTATTGGCGGAGCCCGAAGAAGCTGGTTTTCCTTTTGGTTCCGCCTGTCAACCAACCTAAAGAAGGCCACTCTCAACCTTGCCAGTGCCCCAAAGATTCGAGAAGGACGCAGCAAGATTTTGGTCGCCGCCAGGTTGGTCGTCTAAATCGATTCTGGGTGGCTCGTCTTTGTTTTGCCCTTTTTGTTTTTGGTGGTAGAGGGAAACAACAGCGGAACCATTGCGGCATTTTGGGTTGCCCTATCGAAAACTCCCCCCCATATTGTATAGGTGTGTTCCATAGTCGATGATAAGATCGTTTAGGAGACCCTAGAATTGGAGATGCGCACGGGATTGCTTCACGCAGCGCCAGAATGGGCGGTTCCCCTCAAAGATTCGCGCAAAGACATTTGGGCATGAAACTTCATTTCGGACTTTTTGATGGACATTTTCGTGATCCTGGTAGGGATTTATGTCCAACTTTTGAGGTTCACCTTCCATTTCACCGCGGACATCGCCTCCAGGATCTCGGCCTTCTGGCCGGCTGCCACCTGCGCTGTGTCATTTCCTGTACATGTGGACAAGCTCCATAACAATAAGCCCAAGTGGTATCCCCAACAGCAGTTCTGGGAACCCTTGTGGAACCCTGGGCCGTGAACCACTCAGCGGCCTATCTGGGCAGAGACCTCTAAGCTTTCAGCTGCGGAATTCGGAAAGGGGATGACTGAAGTTGGAATGCAATGAATATCGATCTGACAAAGTTGGGCTCCCCAATTTACTGAGTCAGCACTTGCCTACAGACCGGACGTTTTGACCGAACCTCACGAGGACCAATTTGGCCTCTGCAATTCTTATAAGCCTGAATCAGGCTTATACGGCGTATTTGGCTTTAGCACATTGGCCGAATCACAGCCTTAGCAAGGTATCGTTCTCCTCGCTCAATAAGGCGTAGTTGCTCCAAATAACGCTCGTTTGGAAGGCTTTTGTTGGGGTCTTTGGGGGAGGGTCCCTTGTGGGTAGCGGAGACCCTCTCAACAGTTTGGGTTCCCCACCTTCAGCCATCGGTTCTTCTTGGCGAACTCCTCGATGGCGCCGAGGATGCTGGCCTGAGACACTCGCAGGGCATAGGGCTTCGGTTTTGGAGCCACGGATGCTGGTCTGCCACCGATGAAAACCCCGTAACGCAGCATATGCTCCTTGTGTAAGTGGTTTGGAACCTCCATACTACCTCAAAAAGCCCTTAAACTTCCCAAGCCTGGGTAGGGTAACTAAAGACACTGCTTCTTGACAGCCTCCCACTAAAGCCACTAAACATGAATAGGATAACAAAATGCCGTTGACCGCATTTGACGGCATTTGTAGGAAGGGTCCCAAACTTGGGAAAGGATTCGAATGAACATTTTCCTCGAGTTTAAGGGATCTACATTATGTCAAGGTTTCCCCAGTTTTTTCGAGGTGAGCTCGCCACAAAATAGCAGGATAATTCCAATAGGTTTGTGGGGTAGTATGAAACCAAGGTAAGTCGTAATCGCAGAAGAGAGACATTCATTTTCAGCCTCCCAGTAAATAAGCATGACATCTATTGCACGGTAGCTTGTCGCCGGTGAGAAAAACATCTTGGGCTCTGAGATGAGTTCAAGAGCAGTCTCGCACAGAACTAGGTGTCCTGCTAGATCCCTCGGCGCTGACCTTGACGCCAAGAAGCAGAAGGCACATCTGGACATTCACTCAGCTTCCCTCTCACTGGTGGCTTGGATTTGTGCCAAGTCCCCAAACCACCCGATCCAAACCACCAAGTAAGGGCCCGCATAGAGAATGAGTTGGACATGAAAAGGGCCGCCAAGCCCCTTTTCATTCTCATTGAGAATTCCAATGCAAGGGGTTTGGGTGCTGCCTGATTAGACGAAAGCACATCATCCCCAATTCAAATCCTTTCGTAACAGGTCTTGCCGATTGCACTCAACAGCCCCGTTCAGGGAACAAAGAGGAAGGAGTGCTAGGGCGGCGCAATACTTAGAATGGGGTTGCAGGGTGCTTTGAAACCAAACTAAATCCTGCTGGGAGCAACATGCCAGTAGTTGTTTGGTCCCCAATCATGCAGCCAACAAAAAGTAGAACCGACAAAAGGGAAATCAAACACGGCTTTCCCGGGTTGAAACCAACATCTCTGTAGACACATGCTTCTTCAGGAAAACTGGTTCGGAGCTTCGCAAAGCGCGGCGATTCACAGAGCTCCCTGCCTTTGGTCGAAACCGAAAGCCCATTTCGCCCGCTGCAATTGAGCGGCTCGAGGAAGTCCAGGAGTTGCAGCTCCTGGCATTGGCCATGGAAGTAGTGCAGCCAGTGACGCAACAGGAAACAGGGTTTAGAGGGGAACCCACCAAAAAGGAAAAAGATGGAGAAGAAAGGTGCCAGGCCATCCACTCAGGAAATGAATATATTAGGGTAGACAACGTATGGAACAAAGTCAGAAGCTATTAGCTTTGCAGCAGTGGGCCAACTTTCAAAGTGAGGGTCCTTTTGGTGGGGTGATGTTAAAGAAGGGATATTATTTTGTCAGTTCAGTTCGGTTTGGTACTTTGCATAAACGTGGTCAAAAACTGGTGCCCCTTTTGGCACTTTAGTGAATCCCGACTTTTGAACAGGACCTGCGTGAAGCGACCATGATGCCTTTTATCAAAGGCCCTGACTCAGCTCGCTGCAAAGACAATTTGAATTGCATCAAGTTGCCGACCCTTGACGACCCGCAAAGATTGGGCTTACTAAGCTCTCACCAGTTCCGGCCGTTGTTCAGGATTCATAGGGTTCCGGACGAATCGTGGGCCAAAAACACCTGTGCGTCGCGAGCGAATTTGAAATGGCCTTGGAAGGATCTTGCCAATTTCGCGGCAGTCAGGGTGCCTGCTTCAGGCTGGTTTCAAGAGGGACTGAGACGAAATCGTGTGAACCCTTAATTTTGACACCTACAGTACTCGACATTCTACACGTGAGCACAAATGTGCGGCCTATCCACGAGCGGCCTGCATCTAGTCAATGCAGCAGCCTCTCAAGCGATGCTTCCAAATACGGGATTTAAAACTCGCAGTTTCAGATTAGCATTCCTTGCTCTGCAGTCTTGGCAGCACATTGTGCTACAGGCGGCTCCCTCATCATATCTCTGCTCTCCCCGCCCCACCGCCCGGCCAACAGCCTTGCGCTTCTTGCCGGCCCGCTGGCTCTGGAGATGGGCGGACAGTAGCTCCTTACCAGCTGGAAGGCAGCCAGAAACGTAAACGTATCGGTTGGTAAATGGGAGAACTGGAAAGGATGTCATTCCACTCGCGGATTCCTTTGGGATTGGGGGACATCCAAAAGAAAGCGCTGTCATTCAGCGCACCCGTACTGATGAATATAAGTGTGATTGTGGGGAATGAAGGCACAAAGACGTGCTCCTGCAACTGCTCCTTGTGACTCCAGCTTCATCCACCAAAAAGGGTACTCTCAGGACCCCTCCCTCCCTCGTGAGCCTGGGAAGCCCTAATTTGGAGGAAACCAGGTGGGCTGAACGGTTGAATCTCACGAAGTGAGAACCTGCGATCAACTTAAAGTGTAATATCCTAGCTCCATGTGATTAAACTATTAGCTCATGATCATCCGGCTAGAAACTCATGAGCCAAGACCGTAAAACTACCTTAAAGATCTATGCACAACATTGCAAGCAAAGAAACGGGTGTGAGAACTTGGGAAGCTTGGTACGGTGAGATTTCATTTCAAACATGCTCCTGGGCGGTGAAGAAATGCCAAATGGGAGACGGCCATAGCAGAGTTCTTTGGAGCTCCCTTACGCTTGACTGACTGACTGACTGCTGCCTGGCTCGCTTGCAGACTGTTCCCTCCCTCCCTCCCTCCCTCCCTCCCTCCCTCCCTCCCTCCCTCCCTCCCTCCCTCCCTCCCTCCCTATTTGCTGCAGCTGACGAGGGCCTGCGCCCCCCTCTCCATGGTGATATTTTGACAGCGAGCCAGCCCTCGCTTTCACATGTGCACTAGTTGTCCGTTTTTCCAATGCGGCAACATGGCCTGTGGGAAAAAATGAGAATTGTGGGCTATTTGGCATTCAAAGGGGTGTCCCATTTTTTGGGACCCCCCCCTTTTTGGTTGGTTTTCAGAACAATTTCTCGAGGTCCCCCCCCCTTTGAGACAAACCCAAATGCCTCTCGCCACGTCCTGGAAACCTTGGTTGCTGTTGACGCCCCTGCAAAAAGTCGACCACTTTTTGGGGGTTTAGTAGAAAACACTCTTTATTTCAACCCAAAAGTTAAAGAACCCCAATAGCAGCCAAGAAACCCAACTGCCCCGTCCTCTGCCTTGTCCCCGCGCCCGGCAACGGAGCACGCCCAAGCCGCGCTGCTCACGTCCCAGGTGCTTGCCCGGGGCCTTAGCAAAAAAACGCAACGCAGTCCCAAGGCGGCTCCAAAGGGTCTAGGGCTGTCGTCGTTGTCGTTGTTGGTGGTGGTGGTGGCGGCCTCATAAGAATGAAGGGATCTTTGGGAGGGGGATTGGGGAAGGGAAGAGTGTTTGGGTTTCCATTGGAGGCCAACACTGCTCCGTGCTCCCTTTGAAATGAAAAGGCAGACCATTGGCAACCACCGGGTGCAGGAATTTGTGCATGACCGTGAGCCTCGCTCTTTTTGCCGCGCGGCACTCGCAGCGCCTCCCGCCAGAAGTGGCCGGCGCCCAATGCCCGCAGAAGGTCCCGGGGCGCAGCGTTCGCGTTCGCGAGGGCGCGCTGCCACTGCTGGGCCTCACCAAAACGACTTCAACCCAAGAAATGGGTGTCTTCTTTTAGGCGACCCCCCAAAAAGATTATGTTTTGCATTGTGGTTTCCCTTCAAACCAAGCCCAAAAGTGTACCCTCAAAAACAAACACGCACACACACACACAAATACACAAATACACAAATACACAAATACACAAATACACAAATACACAAATACACAAATACACAAATACACAAATACACAAATACACAAATACACAAAGACACCAAGACACCAACACACCAACACACCAACACACCAACACACAAACACACACACAAAATGTTCAACAGGAAGGGGGGTATGGACAACATGCGGTTGAAAACGACAAAGGTGAGCTTACAGCAATAATCAAAGCAATTCACACGATGGACGCCCTTGTTTGGCAACCCATGTCGAGTGATAACAAATCTGGCAGCGTTTAGGTCTATAGTTTTGCTTTTCACATATATATTTATATAACCACAACTACGGAAACTTCTGAATAAACCAATTAAGCCTGAATGGTTCGATGATTAACCATGACCAACGTTAACACCCGGTTTTTCAGACCTAATAGGCTCTGCCACTTTTCTTTTGGGGATCACTTTGTGAGTGGGGTTGCTATTCTTCCTTCGGAACCCTGACTAATGACTGAGGGGGGGGCAACACCAACAACCTGCAGGCAAGCCACTCTTCGAACCGCGGGGTCTCCAAACCTTTCCACGGGGAAGGGGGGCTCTTGAAAGAGGGGAAACCTTTAGTCTTGCCCCGTGATAGGTTCAACAGCGCCAAGTGGACACCGAAGACCAGCCATGATGATCACTTTCTTGCAACAGTTACTCTCCAAAGAAACAAGCCCAGGACTGCTAACTCAGCTTCTCGCAAGAGGGCAACTTGCCTCTACCTGGCCCATTGTGCAAAGGAGTCTTTTGCTGCTGATTGTGCTTATAACCGCATCATTCCGGACTCGAAACCAAGTATCAACAAGACCTCATCACCCTGGGCCTGAGTGTGGGCGTGCACACACGGCTACTCCCACTGCGCATTCAAGACAAAGAGCCAGCCTAGTCCGAATCAGTAGGCTGGGGTTCACTTGACCCCTTCGCGACTCGGACCCCCACGTCCCGTGCCCCTTGCGTCGTGTGGCGCTGCAGAGCGCCGCCACCGTTGTGGCATCGCCGGGAGCCAACGCCAAAGCCGCCTGCCACTGGGCGGCGCGCGCGCAGGCGCGCAGGGCCGCAGGGCGGTCCGGGTCCTACGGCGATTTGCTCTTCGGTCTCTCCAAAGCAAAACTGAATGCGCGGCCAAGAAGGCAAATGAAGATTGGTGTAAACAATGTGCCTTTCTTGGCTCCGTGTCAATTTCCCGAGCTGGGGTTGGTCTTGGACTGCCTGCAAACTGTTGCCATCACGCCTTCATCGTCGCTCCCGAGCTGGGGTTGGTCTTGGACTGCCTGCAAACTGTTGCCATCACGCCTTCATCGTCGCTCGAAGGCACGAAAGGTTAGTTTGGTCAAACCAAAGAGTTGCCAAGGCAACGTGGGTGAACCATGGGGTATCCTTTTGGCCTACAAAAATAGGGTGGCGGATGTTATCGGTTTTATGACCAATACTCTCTCTTGGCTTGTGTGACCGGGCACCGCAGTATTTTGTGCGCGATGGTGCTGTTTTGCGGAGCAGCATACTTGGTTTACATGCAGGCGATAGGCAGCATTTTGGGCAAGCTGATTCTCTTGCTTTGTATAGCAGGTGTCATACTCTGTGACGATCGATCTCATTTGAGTGGCAGGCGCAGTACTTGGTGCACGCCAATGCTGCTTCGGGTGCCAGGCGCAGCACTGCGCTGTTTTGTATGACAAAGTCAGTGCTTGCACTCGTCCGCGTTGAGCGCCGTGGGGATTCGCACAGTTTACGTGACACGTGCACTATTTTGTTGACAGTGGACTTTTTAAACGTGACCGGTACAAGTTTGTAAACGCAACACTTTGGATAGGCGGGTGGCCTTCAAAGACCCTCAAATCACGCCTTTGCGCGGCTTCCCTCAGTGAACAACACGTCATTTTACAAGATGTCCAAAACCTGAAATAAGGGATCCCAAGTAAAGGATCTTTGCAGTGAGCTCCTTGCCCCGAGAATGGAAGGTTCCAGGTTTTAATTTGATTCCGCTCCTGCATCAAGGCCAATGCTGCCTCCCAGGCCTCGCTGCGAGCACAAGTCTCTACCACCACCGCGCGAGCTTCCGCCTTCGGCATGGCAGCCAATAAGGCGACCGCCTGCAACCGCAGTGGCTCCCTCACTTCCGATCGAGTGGATTGCCCTCAAGAAGTCCAAACTTTTGGTTTACCACCCAAATGGTCCAATCCCAAAAAGCGACTGAAGTCCAGGAAATCAGGGAGCGGGGGCAAGAAAAGCTGGGGGCAAAATGGCTGGTCACCTAACAATGTGGCAACTGGGATGCACTGGAGGAGACAGCTTTTAGCTTTGCCTGAGAAATACCCTTGGCTGTTGAGTGGATGATCCCCATTCCGGCTTTATCACTTGCTTGCAGGGATTCCCCATGGTGTTCCCACGGGCATAGGGGTTTCAAGAAACATGTGGAAGAGCAGTTTGAGCGGCATCTTGATGGAGGAACTGTGGAGGGGGCAGAGGCTTTGAGGGGGCGCAGCTGAGGTCTTTCCTGTTCGCCTTGATGCCCTCTGCACCTGCGCGTGCTTGTTGGAAACTGAAAGGAAACACGTGCAGGACAATACATACACGCTGAGGGTAGCAGTGGCCAGGGTTTTGTGGTTTCGTAGGACAAGTAGTCATTCACTTTTCCAGTCAGGTAGTGTGGTGAAAGAACAACTCTGGCAGGAGCTGTTGCTGACCGCTGCGGGAACCTCCGTGGTTGAAAAGCGAAAGCGCAAAAGGACACCAGACAGAGAAGCAACCACTTATCAGTTGTCCAAAAGACCCAGGAATCCAAGGTTAAGCTTTTGGGGTGAGTCAAACAGGGGAAACCAAAAGGTCAAAGGGTTGATTCACATTGGACAGGAACGCGCGTTCATGCGGCAAAGGGGAGCGACTTGATGGCGCGCCCGCTGCCTCTCATCGGGGGGATTGCCCTAAAACGTGGAGCCCTCCACAAAAAAGAGGGAAGTCTCTTCAAACAGACTCCAAGTAGACCAAACGGAAAGGTGTGATTTGGGGTCCCAGACACCTCAAAAGCCCTTTTGTCAGACTAACCTGCAAAAGACCTTCATGTTCGGAGGGTACCACCTTCAGGCCCAACTCGGGAATTTTGATATGAGTGTTTCTAAAAATAGCGGACCCCTTTTTGCTTGTTTCCTGCAAAACCAACAGGAAACTAACCATTTTAGGGTACCCATTTTGAGAAACACCCAACATCATCGTCGCCTGCTCCCACTGCAGAGCAACTTGCATGGCTCGTAGTACTGCCACAGTGCAGGCATCCTTGGCGGTTTTTCCACGTGAAAGAACAACCTCCCACAAACATGTTGAAAGCACGCAAGAAGGACAACGCAACGAAACAAGACACACACTTTGAACATGCTGACTACACATATCCATTCGATTGCCTTTGGGGAGATTGGGGGGAACAGTGTTCTTACAAACTTTCGTAAGCCAAGAGAGGTCCTGAGACTTGGATTGCCATAGGCAACCCGGACAAGACGAGGATTTGCCAACGTCTCTGGTACAGTTGAGGACCCTGTGTTCAGGTGTTCCAACTAAAAGGCCAACTAGTTCAGGGCTTCCACCCTCCCCCTCCCACCCAAGGTTTGCTTGGCAGATTCGCTACTTGCTTGAAAAACAAGTGTTTCTTTAGTGTCGACCCTCTTGGAGACGGTCCAACTGGATTTTTATTTCGAGGACTCAGAAGGACACCTCCCCTTCACCTTGACCCCCACCGACAAATTGCCAGGAGCCTTCTCCAAAAGCGCCCAGCCTTCCCCCTGTTTCCAAGGACCCCACAAGCCAGCTCCCAAACGTAGCCTCAACAAGCTTTGTTAACCCTAAGGTGGGGGGTGGGGCGTCTTGGGGCGGGAGGGGTTGGTAGGGTCCCTGATTGACGTGTTTTGATCAAATGGTGGATGGTTGGTCAATTGGTCCCTTGTTCACCAAAATTCATATTCCACGTGTATTGAACATGCTTCTTAGCAAGGATCTGTCATGTCTTCAAAAAAGCCCAGTGGCCATCAAAAAAACGGGTACCATTGTTGTTGGTTGTTTCTAAAAGAGAACTCCTTCCCCCCCAAACAAGCACAAGACAAATGTGTGCCACTGCCCCCTGCAGCGCAAAGGGTGCGCTTGAACCTTGGACTGAGCGTCAGAAGTCGCAGAAGGGGACTGAAGCAGCGCAAGTGCCACTTGCCACATGTAGCTTCTGCCGCAGGCGGCGATCGCCGCACTGCAGCACAGCGAGTTCGCCTGCGGAATTTTGCGGGAGGGTCCAATCCGAGAACACATGCACCTTGCAAGGAACCCAACTGGCCCCGTCATTTTGTCATTGCCTTGGTTTATGGTCCATGTTCAAGCTACCTTGAGATGTAAAATGGGTACGACTGAAAATCGGGGGAATCCCCTAAAATGTTTGTTCTTGTTTGGTTTCCCTTTAACAAACATAAGCAAACAGAGGAACCCTTTCGAACAGCTTTATCTAAGGCTTGGTTACCCACATCACGTGGACAGTTTGTCACACCAGCTGATAGACGGCTTATCCATTCTTCGTAGAGCTTTACCCATCCCAGCTGCTTTTTCTACCAATTCCAGAAACATACTTGAAACAAGGGATGCACAATTGAAAGGACCCACATCATCCTTGTGAGCCCATTTTACTTCCAGCTCGCCGGAAAGTAGGCAAACTTCAAAGGCAAGCAACCCTTGGAGGCCCTAAGCGCCGCCAGAGATGACTTCACCACACAAGTTCCTTCGGAAGTTTCTCTGGAGATATGCTAGGAGGGAAGAAAAAGGGTACCAACTTTCTTTCTGTAGTCTATTTTAGTAGGGGAACCCTCCCAACCAAAAAAAGTTGGTGAGAAAGGGTACGGACCTAGTCTAATTGGTGGTTTGGATTGGTGGTTTGGTGGCTAAGGAGGGGCTGTCCATTTACCCGCTACAAGAATCAGGTTTTCAAATCCCCAAACCACCTATTCACCAATGAGGAGTTACCTGAACTCACCTGGGGGGCCTAGTATATACCCCAACCGTCCTGAGCCTTCGCTTCCTCTTCCCCCGCGCTCAGCGCCGCCACCGCGGCGCGCCAGGCGGACGCCTCCGCCGCCGCCTGCAGCGCTGCCCCGTAGCCCGCGGCGCCGAAGGAGCGGGGCTCCTGGCCGCAAAGCGGGGGCCCAGGCCTCTCGGAAAAAGATGCGGCTCCTTTGTCTCGGTTGCGAAATCTGCGAAGCCCTGCTAGAAGGTTTTTCTAGTGGTTGAATACGACAAACCCATGAGTTGGCCGTAACATCCAAGCAACAAAACAAACACTAAAACCCCAATCCTCAAATTGTTCAAACACTAAGATCTGGGGTAAAAAGGGTGAAGGGGTGGGG